CATGGGATATGTTTAGCAATATGTATTTGTTCTAGAAAATCAGTTGAGTGTTATGCATTAATTCTACTTTCTTAGAAGGGAGGAAAATGGCTCCCTTCCCACTTCCTTACACCTTTTGTATACCTCTAACCTGTTACTCAGTTTTCTTCGAAGCTGAATGATCTCAGATGTTCTCCTGCTTCTCAGTTACTGTCTTGGTTTGTAGTTTCTACTCCTTGAGGTGCATTGCCCCACAGGTGCACTTTCTTAACCTCATGCAATGGATATCGTTTCTGGGAAGTTCTCTTCCTCAGGACTGGGAAGCTGGTGCAGCAATCACACACATTTGCATATCCCACTTCCAATTACAGTGGCATGTAGTGTGTTTGGTTTCGGCCAAGAGGTTGGTATGCAAAATGCTTCTCATTATTTTTGAAAAGCGTCGTGGTGAAATTATCACCTTACAAAAAGAACTCATTAAACGTGACAAAGGTTAAGTGCATAGTTTCTTCTTTCTGCAAGACTTTCTTGTTCCTTCTACTCCTGATTTCTTTAAACTGTAGTGGCATTCCTGCATTGTCCTCTGGGTCAAGCACAACTGAGAATACTGCTGGAATGTTCCACATGTGCATCCATAGCATTGTTTTAAACACCTCAGCCAGCAACCAATATGAGCCCATTCTTGGGAAACTGCCACAGATGGTGTTAATATGTGCTCACCTGGGTTATGGACTGATATTTAGAACAAATATGTTAATGCTTGTGTCAGGCACATGAGCTAAGCTTACCATGGCATTCTTGGGTAGGTGAAATCTCTGGATTTCAGTTGTTAAAATGATGTTTAATTTGTTTGACCTGAGGGCTCCTGAACTTAAAATACACATTCATCTTCAAATTAGTTGCCGTAATACTCACACAACTCTTCCTGTTCACTGTTTCTGAACCTCACGCCACAGTTTGGAAACAGGCACAGAAAAGCACAAGTGAGCCAATTTTCAGACAGGCACCTTCCGGCACTCACTTTTGGCGCAGTTGCGGACGAGCAGGTCAAGCGAAACCTCCGGTGTTGGCAGGCCCTAATCCAGTGTCTGGTTTATGGGGCATGACGTGGGGAGCTCCGAAGCATACCGCAGTGTGCCCACCTGCCAATCCCTATTCATGTTTTCACACACTGGCTATTCCTGGTGGCTCTTGCGTCCAGATGTAGCAGCTGTGCAGTGTGCTCACCAGTTCAGAATGGAGCCCGGGGCTAAGTCATGGCTCTTCTTGCTGATCTTCAGTGGAGTCTGTAGTGTGAGGTTTTAGGAGTCTCAACTCAGAGCAGTTTTGCCACCTGCAAGTTTACAACTTGATCAGGCACCAGTGGAGGTTTTAGGATCTGGCGCTTTGAAATACCAAATAGTATTTGTATCCCGGGCCAATAGACTAAAGGGAGCTATAAAGGGCAACTATTACACCAGCTTGCGTGGTGGAATCCTTACCTCCATGTGCTTGGACTTGTTCCCACAGTTCCTGGTGAGTCCCATCCTGGGATGGAACTTGGTGCTTTTCCTCCAGTGGAACTCCGGTGATCAGATGGTGCATAGGACGAGTCCCATCCGTGTGGGCGCTCCCTCCTGCCTGTCACGTGTATTTAATATTCAGAAACATGCTAAGTCTCCAGTACAGTCTTTCCCGAAAAGGAAACGGATCCTGTAGAAGGCTCCCCTGAAATGCCCCCGTTTTTCCAGGTAGCAGGTCCATGAAACGGCATATTGGTTTAAGTCATGTCTGAAGAAAGCAGCCTCCAAACACCAGTGTGAAAATGGCCTGAGTGTCAAGCACTGTTTTGCAAGCAACTTTTACCTTGATGATCAGTGCACTTACCCAAAAGAAATAAAAAAGAATTTAACACTTGGAATTGCTGTGAATTTTACTGCTTCTGACAAATGTGGTAGCACAAGCTTTTAATGCAGTGTGGCGTGTCCATGTGAATATTCAGCTCCCGGGGCGGGGTTTTTTTTTTTCCCTGGTGATGTGAAAAGGAAGGGGAGCCTCATAAACTGGATCGCTTCCTGCGTTACTCAAACTTCTCCGGTTCTGCAGGGCCCTGCCAGTGTCAGTTCAGTTTTAGGACTGAGACGTGAATATCCGTTTGTCGTTCTGCCCCTCTTGTGACCCTTTTGTCAAGAGCAGTGGAAGAGCAGCAAGGGGTTTCCTGGCAAGAAGTCCAGTTTGCACAATCATGGAAGCTGAAGCAAGCCATCCTGCGTGCCGGCCACATCTCCCAAATTAGGCACACGGGCCTGGTTTGCCGCATCATGTGCACCTGGGTGACATAGCTCGTTCGGGGTGGGAAGCAACCGCAATGACCCACGGGTGGTGTGGGGCTATTTTCTGCCCACCCCAAACAAGCTCTGTGATTCCGGTTTAGGTGATGCAGCAGACCAAGCTGGTTGGACAGTAGGGGGAGTCCAGCTCACGCAAAGCAACAAGCCGTCATGGCCTTTTCCTGCTGCCTTGACGCTGCATACCAGCAACGAGTGGAAATGGTAGATGATCTAGGGAGAAATCCACCGAGTTCGTTTATCATTTGCTGAAGAGGTGTTGGCCAAGCTCACACAACCGTGGCAGCATGGAGCCCACAGTGGCTTCTCTGCCCAACTCCCTGTGTGCTTTCTGAGTATGGCGTGATTTGCGTAATGGCCCTCGCAACACACCGTCTTCCCTGGTGAGGTACATGGTGGGCCTGGCTCCAGAGCACCTCCCCAGAGCCCTATGGCAGGGCTTTGAGGATGCTTCAAAGCCACCCTTCTGCACACCTGGCGGCATTCAGATGCAACAGGATGCCACACAGCATGGGGGTAACTAAGCTGAGTGCACGGTGCGTGAACTGAGCTCAAGTGGAAAGGGAGCAGACGCTACTGTGACTTCTTTTTCTCCTGATTGCCTGAACGACAGTGAAACCCACCAGCTGCCTCCCTTACCGGGAGTTAATTCAGTCCCACGGAAGCTGACACAGAGGGGAGAAAGCAAGGGGAAGGGCTGTGACTGTGTGGCTCCCCAGAATCTGGCCCTTTTCTCCTTACCAGACCTCTTCCCAAGCTCGACCTTCACTCAGGAACTGAGCCGAGCCTAGAGGAAGTCCACAAACGCTCGCGGAACTCTGGTCGTGCAACCGACAACCTCCTCCTACCACGCTGTGTGGCTCAAACAAAAGTTGCAAGACACATGCAAGGAAGAAGGGTTCTGCTTGTGCGCCATTCACACATGCTTACTTCCTGGCACCTGCCCACACAAACACTGGGTGGATTTTTCACACCAAACACAGATTCCGCACAGGTCCCTCGCTAGGGCCTTGTAAGCCTCAACAGTTTGTGGTGGAAATGGCCAGCGAGGAGAGAGGTCTTTGGTTAAAGGTACTTGGTGTTGAAGCAACCCTTCTTTCTTCCCACTGCGGCTGTTTTTCCTTTTAGGATACATTAGTGGGAGATGGCTTAGTAGACCTCACGCATAGCGATGAAATCCCTTTCTGAATAACACTGCAGTTCCTGCCATTCATTGGCACGTGATTGGCTACAGCTGTTGCCTTACTCCATCCGCCCACAAAAGAATTGGCCACACTTTCTCATTTTCGGATGCATTTGACCAAATAGCTGACGCTGTCCAAAGCGTGGTTGTAACGGTTGCAGTGGGCCTTTTATGGCCAGAAGACACTGGAGGTTGACGCAACAGAAGGAAAGGAGCCCTTCCATTTAATTCCTTTTCGACTGCTGTGTTACTCGCTTCCCCCGGTCTCCAAAGCACTCTTCTCCTGGCTGCCATATGGGCTTTCTTTGCAGTTCTGTGCCACCAGCTGCTTGTGCTGGAGCCTGCCAGCTCTGAGTTGCCTGATGGCTGGGACTATGATCTGGCAGCATTAACGAGGGAGGGGAGGCATTTTAATGCTTGGCGTTGCTTTGGTGGCTCAGCTCAGGCATTAGGCTTCTCCTTCCTCTCTGCACTCATGCAATGAAAAGACCTGTGATCCCGTGACACGAGTAGAGCTGCAAACCTCTAAACGGCTTGAGCGCTGGATACCTGAAGGAGTGCCTTCCCTCCTGTGTGTCTGCCCACCCCTTGAGATTGGAGGCAGAGGCCCTTCCTTCTCTGGGAACCCTCTTTGAAGGAAATTAGGAGGGTGGCTACTCAAAGAAGGGCCTTTTCAGCGGTGGTGCCCCGACTGTGGCACATGCTCCCCAGGGAGGTTCACCTGGCACCGTCACTCTATTGTTTTCGGTGTCAGGCAAAGACCTTTTCATTTCCCCAGTATTTTAACATTTAATTGGTTTTATCCTTGTTTTTATCATTATTTATTGGATGCAGTATGTTGCTGTTGTTATGGTTTCTTTGTTCTTTGGCTTTTTGTTCTCTGTAAGCTGTCCGGAGACTTTTAGTAATGGGACGGCATAGAAGAACTTAAATAAATACATAAACCTACCGACAGAGAGAATTTATGAAGGGCAGTTGTAGCAACCACAGTGGCCTAGTGAGAGCTGGGGGTTTGCAGGGGCAGTGGATGGCTTGCAGTGCTCTGCCTTGGAGCAAGGGATGGGGAAACTACTCTTGGTAAAGTTCTCCTTTCTGTGAAGTTATGCTCATTGCTTCTGTGTTATGAATGAGTGCAAGCAACCAAGAGTCACACCAAATGGATACTCTACCTTGCTTTGTGCTTTTGCAAGGCTACTACAGAAATGGATCCTACGGTGGTTGGATCATATCATTGGGAATCTGTACAGGTGGATGGATGCACTTGGGTCAACCGAACAAAGCTTAAGTGGAGCGTTTGTGAGCCTAAGTCTTGCTCCTGCTCAGCTTCCCAGCCTGGTTGCCTGATGAAAATGGCTGCTTGCCATAGGTGACTAGGCGGGTGGCTGTTGAGAAGCAGTAGAAAGGGGCTTGGGCAGTGGGCGGAGAGGTTCCTAAGGCTGCCTGTGCTTGCAGACAGTGCAGTCCCATCATAAGGAGCAACCAAGTAACTCTTTTTTTCTCTCTTTTTCCAGGATCAACTTACAGTGTGCTGTCCATAATGCCGTCGGACTCTGAAAGTAGCAGTTCTCTTAGCAGTACTGGTAAGAAGAGTGCTGGTTTCATGGTGGCTGGGTTGTTTGTTTTGAAATGCATGTGAATCTTGCACAAACTTGTCTTCTCATTCATTATATATATAAATACAATACCCAGAAACTCTCTGCTCAGGTGCTTTAGTGTGATTAGGAGTGGTCATAGCACGCATGTATTTCTGTGTGTGTCTGTTCGAGCACCTTCCTTGTATTACTGTCTAATATTTCGGGCAAGTCATGGGACTCCACAGGATGTCTCTGAGCACCTGTTTTAGCTGGAGTAGAATTTCCAGGATGCAGGATTAGGGCTGGAACAGAACAGAGCTGGCTCATGAGTGCCTTCAAGAAGTCTGTGTGTGTGAGAGAAGGGAGGGCTGGACAACAGACCTTTCATTTTTCTTCTCTTCCTTTCCTCTGCAGTGGATTGATCCTTGGAAGGGGAGGTAGCTCAAAGGAAGGCTGTTTCTGAGTCTTATCCTCCCGTTACCCCATCTCCAGGATAGATTTGTTGGGGAATGAGCAGCTTCTCCATGCCTTCCCTTCCATCAGACCTTTTGGAGGAAGCAAGGAGGTTCAGACAAGAGCTCAAAGGACCCAAGTCTTCTCTCCCTCTTTGGAAGGAAGGGAAGACTCCTCCTTCTGCTGCTTCTTGAGTAACTGTAGTGAGGAACCAGACATTCATCAGATAGGAAAACCTCTGTGACTACTACAGGAAAGTGTGGGAGGGTTTGTTGGACAGGGCAACCCAGAAGGTGCTGTCGCTGTGGTCTGAGCTCATAGCAAAGGCTGGTGCCTTGGTTGTCCCACATGGTGATGCCTTATACTGCTTACGCCCGAGCGGTACCCTCACAGCCCAGCCAGGATTCTTCTGAAGACTTCAGACGAGGGTCTTTGAGTTGCTCTCTGCTTGTGGCTTGTTCCCCACTGCACAGTGTGCTTATGGGATGTTGGAAAGGAGGTTCAGGTTACTGCAGTAGAGGATTGCTGTCCGTCGAGGCTCCCACAATCCCTGCATGCAGACGTGGCCACTTTGGAAGTAGGTGGATCTGCCGAAATCCTGGGAACAGTACACTTGTCCCAAAAAGTCCCAGCTGTGAACTCGTCGGCTCCCTCTTTCCTTCTGTTTCACAGAACTGAAATTGAAATCTTGGAAGGGCAGTTCTTCCATTGAAACTTAACCAGTCACAGAACTGCAGGGCTTCTAGATAGCCTTCTACCAAAATGGAGGGAGAAGCATCTGCCCATGTACAGCGTGGAATCCAAACTGGAAACCCCCCTTCTGTCCCTCCATATTAGTCAAGCTTCTGACTGCACCTTCAGGGTGGCTCTCACTGCTTGAGGGCAAGAGGGCAGGAAAGCCAGAGACCCTCTAATGGGGCAGCTCACTTCTCTCCCTCCTGCCTCACTGAATCAGAGAGTTCTTCTTGCATGACTTCCCCTACCACCCTGAAAAGCCTTCCTCCCTTTGCAAAGCAGGCAGATTCTCATAGTCTGCCTGAGGCACTTCGCTAGGTAGCCCTGAATTGGTCGACTCCTCCAGCCCTTCCTCCTCCTCCGCCACCGCCTCCGAATTGGGCAGAACGGTCTGAGCAGGTTGCCACAAGCAAGAGACGGGCCCCCTCACCAGAACTCATCCCCTTCTCCCACCCCAGCGACACTGGTCACAGGAAAAAAAAAAAAATACCAGGCTGTGTTTTGAAATATTTGCAGTTTTGGATGTGCTCCAAATGCTGGAAGAATAGAGTGTAAATTTCAACAATTGATCCTGGAGATCATGAAACAGCAGGCCTTTGGAGTTCATTTTGTAAAACCTTTACACAGCTCTTCAGCTGTGTGAGCTCACAGCAGTGCCGTGGGATTGACAGCGCTGGTTTGGTGCTGTGTGAAGTTCACTTGCGTGCGAACCCTGACCCTAACCCTCCCCTCCCGCCCTCCCGCTCTGGCTGGAGGCACACCACTTCTCTGGTTTGGCCTAGTAAACTGTGGATTGCCTCAAACCAGGGAATGAGGGAGGAATTGCAACGGAGCAGCAGCCTGGAGCTGTCCAAATGCTCCTTCACATAGTGCCAAACCACGGTTTGGTGTAGCGTTGAACCACCTTAGTGATATCCCTGTACCTCGAAACAGTCATGGCAGGAGAGCATGAGACCTGTAACATGGTGGGCTTCAGTGTTCTGCAGAACCATGAGAAGTTTCTGTGGACTCTCAAATGGAAAATTTGCAATAACAGACAACCATCCTTGAAAGCCAGCTTGTCCTTGTTTACCCAGATTTTCTGGCAATATATAGAGACAGTAGGATACTGGGTACATTAAAGCAGAGGTTCCGAACCGCTTTTGCCTCTGTGGCCCTTCTCGTAGTCACTGGTAGCTAGAGGAAGGTACTTTACCATCTGCGTTCTGTCCCCCTTGAAATGTGGCATGACCGTATGGTGGGGCATATGGCCCATGTTGAGAACCACAGCAGTAGAAGGTCTCAGCTCATGCAGATGATGCTGAAGACCAGTAGACCTTGCCAAGGTCCTTTGTCCATGGCGCATTTGCTGATGAACGTGCTTGAGAATCACATGCAGCAGGTGCCGGAGATCTGTGGCAAACACATCCACGTGGAAGAAGGGGTTCCTTGTCCTGAAAATATTAAGGCATCCATGTAACGTTTTCTGTTAATGTAGGGAGGAAAACTTGTGGCCCTTCAGAGGTTTTGTCTTAGAACTCCCATCATTCTTAACTGTTGGCTATGCTTTCTGGGGCTGATGGGTGTTGAATGGAGTCTCTTGTCACATGCAGGATCCTAAGGGTGTTCAGTCTTTTCCTGTCCAAGGTCAGGGAGAGTGCCGGTGGAGACAGCGCTGTCTGAAGTTGCCTCTCCATGTTCTTTGACCATTGGGAAGAATCACTTCTAAAGAGATCTTTGCAAGCTCTAACATCTGAGAAACAGTCTGGGCTCTAACAGCTTGAAACTACCATGGCATGCACCCACTTTCCCTTCATTGCCATGAAGCCAAGCCCCTGCTATGCAACCAATATGTGAAGGGAAGGATATGAATTCTGAATAATACTCATTCGTTTAGCCTGCCCCATTAGCCACAAGGCTGCATAATACTGGAGCAGAATGCACACACACACACACGGTCCCTAAAGGAGACCTAGTTTGAAGTCAGTAGAATCCCTTTGCGGTTCTGGATAAGGTGCTCCCAGGCTGCCTAATGCCTGCACGCTGGATCGAGCAGTCAAGTAGGAGACGAAGGGCCAGCTTGCAGGAGCGCTGATCTGTCTGAATAGGGGCCCGTCCAAGCTGGTGTGTGTGATGGACTCCACAGGGTGCCTCTACACTGCTTCTCATGCAAACGTCCTCTTTGAATTTTGGCAGCTTATAGTGGACATTATCAGTTTCAGGCTGGCTGGCTGGCTGGCTGGCTGTCCATCCGTCTGTCCTTCCATCCTCCCTCCCTCCCTCCCTAACGAGAGAAACCATCCCTGCTTCTCAGCGTGCAACCCGTGCTCCTTGGAGATGTCATGTCTGCGTTCTGGATCTGTGCTGATTCTGGTGATGTCCTTTGCGGGGCTTCCTCCTCCCCACTGAAACTCTGCACTCCCTCAAAATCTGTTCCAGAGTTGTGGGGGCGGGGGGCAGTTACAGGAGATGCTAGAGAGGAGGGCATGATCCACTCGCATGGCATTGTCTTCCATTATCTAGCCTTATTTCAAATTTATGTCCCAAACCCTAATACTTTTTGAGAATAATCTTATGCCAGGAACTGAAAATCCTTGGTGAGAAAGGGCTTGAGCAGGTGCACTAAGTGGAGTCCAGCCCCGGGTTCTTTTTCCACCACCCACGTGCTTTGAACATACCTCTATTCCAGGTACTGTTCCTGCCCCTAAACCCAGGTTCAGAAACCAGGTAAAGTCACACCTGTCCTTTCTCTCCAAGATAAAAGGACTGTCCCCTTGATGGTTCTGTGTTTAATCAGAGAGGCTCTTCTTTATAGTCCTTTAAATATCAGGTAGAGATTTCTATTCCCAAGCCTTTCTATTCCCAATTCTATTCTATTCTATTCCCAAACCTGTGGATTTCTCTTGGCAGGTCCTCTATTTGTTAATTATCTCCTATCATTCTTTTCCATGCTGAAAATGTTTCTGCTGCAAATTGCTATTTTGTGGCATTTTAATTGTATTTTATGATTTTGTGCTGCAAGCTAAATGGAGAACAATGTTACTGGACGGCTTTGTATAAATACAATGACTGAAATATATGTTCAGCATTTTTGCAACAAGAACTGGTAACAAAGATTTTTATTTTTTTTAACCATCTGGCCCACAGCTGTGAAACTTGTAACTATGTTACACCAGTCAGAACATAATATGTAGAAGCTTCAGATCGTATTATTAAGGGGGCAATTGGTGGCCAGTGCCATTTTGAAAAAAAAGGGGGGTGCTTCACTTTGGTTGACCTCATGCAGAGGATAGTAATTAAGTGGCACTGTTTTAAACTCTGCACACTGTTTTGGCCTGTAATCCACTTGGATTCAAACCTCTTTGCTCCCTGTCCTCAGAAAGGGGGTGCAGCAGTTTCTTGTCCTCACTTCCAGCCCCTTTTGGGAACCAAGACATGTGCTGCATGGAAAGGAATGTCGCACTTTGAGTTTTAAGGTTTTGGCTCCCCATGGAAGATGTAGGAAGCAGTGGGGGAGCAAGGGCACTGGCAAGTCTTCCTCCGTGCTCAGGTGTTCATCTTGGGCTGCTGCGGGTCTTGGAGGCAGAGGACCCCCAACCCCAGAGCTGGCTGTCAAGACAGCCAGATGCTCCTCTCTCACAGGGTGGGGCTTCTGGGTCAGGGCTGCTGCCTGCCTCCATTCGTACAGGTGCGAGAGCAAAGGTCAGTCGGAGACCTGCCACAGTCCTCCGGTGTTGCGTCCTCCACTGTTAATTTCCGCTCCTTGTCTAGTAGGCAAGCAAGAAGACGTTTTTGGTAAGCACTTTCCAGATGAGGCTTGCACCTCTGGCTCCCCTCATCTGCCTTCCTTCTAGGGCTCAGCCATGGTGAAGAGGTGGCTGCCAGTGGTAGAACTAGCTGTGTGCCCACACGCCGTTGGGCACTATCGGTCCTGTAATCATGCCTAATTTTACCTGCCCCCTTTTTCAGGTACTTGCACTGGTTCACTGGCCCTCTCTGCTTTACCTATTGGGGGGCATTTTGTGGGTACTTTTTTAAACAGCTAGTATGAGTTTCTAGAGCTGCAGTCATTCAGTCTTCAGCTCCCCCGAAAGCTAAATTGTGCATGGGGGTGTGAATTTCATATCAAATACACTTTGTGGATAATAAATGTGCATGTAAATACATGGACATGAAAACCAGATGCATGCACTTTCTGACAGCTGCCAAACTGCAACTTAACTTCATTTTGAATTATTGATAACTTGACGGCTGTGTTCCGACCTTACACTAAAACCAATTTTAGAATAATGGGAATGAGCCTGGTGAGCGTCAGGTAACATCTGGAAGCATTCCCTTCCATTTTGCTGAACTGCAGCTGGTTGGGTTATCCACGCAGACAATCTATAGTCAGTATTAGCTGTCGTGCCTGTGAAAGAATCCAACTTGTGGTAATCAGCTCGTCACTCTCAGTCGGGACAACATCACAGACTGTGATTAAGCAGAACGGAAGCCAAAGTTTCCAAACTCCTACTTTCTGCAGTGCAGTCGTTATTTATCATAAATCTTCCTCCATCAGCTTTCCAAAGTTCTAGAAGGTGCTTGAAATATCACTGATCAAAAGTGCTCATGGCCGTGGTCCTACCTGATTCTCAAAAGGTAGTGCAGAACAGGGAAAGAACCTTGAAGCAGCACACCTGGCTCAACAGGTATGCTCTGGGTCATGTACTCATAAAACATCAGGACTTCCCATTAGCCTCAGTTCCATTTTGCCTTCATTCTCCAGTTGTCCTCATCTGCCCCCTCAAAGCATCTGTATTTACCTTGTCAGCCTGAACGTCCATGTCTTAGGCCTGCACATGTTGTATGCAAAATCACGTTCGCAAGTTAGAACAGTAAGAGAACTTCAGTGACTAGAGGGGAAACTCGCTTTCTGGAGGCCAGCCAAGAAGTACTCACGCCGATGGGGGCTCCCGCATGAGTGTGGAGACTAAAATATGAGTTGTGAAGTACTTATTGAAGTTGACAGACAAGCTGCACTTGGCAGCAGTTGGTAGTAAATAAGTTATGACAAATCCATTTTGTCTGAAAAGAGCCACGTTATTTAAAGGTGGGAGCTAATTTGGAAAATACAGCCTTGGTCTCCAGGCCCAGGCATGGTTGAAGGCATTTGACTGGCTGTAATAAAGGATGGAGAAGCTGTGGCGTGCAGATTAATTCAGGTGGAAAAAGGAAGACAGATCTCGACTGCACAGGTTGCTTCCTTTACAGTGCAGTGAGTTGTCAGACGATGTAAAAAAGCTGTTTAGCACTCGGCTAGAAATGTCCTTTGTAAGGGAAGTGATGAACAGTGCAAATCTCCCTACTCCCCCCGAAAAATTAAGCTAGAGGGCTACTTGTAGCATATGTCATGTCACACTTGATAAAGCTCCAAAACCTGTTGTGTTGTTGAAAAATGCAAGCTCCTGATTAAGATGAGCTGGGAGGAGCAAGTGGGCTAACTTTGGAGGGTAGGTAAGACCAAGACACGAGCGGTAACACTCATTTCACCTATGGAAAAAAGCAGGAACTGAAATGAATGGGCCCTGATTTTTAAAATGTGCTTCTGTCAGCATCGTGACTTCCATTTGTTCCATAATGCTGTTCCATCAGCATTTAACTTTTATAACCTTGAAAACCTGTGAGAATTTGTATAGCAAAGCAGGGAAGGCAGCAGCTTGATGGGAGAAGGCAAGTTTGCACATCTTTTTTTTCTGAATTATACACCCAAAGCTAGACAGGAAAATGTGTCAAATGTGTTTACCAATACCCGTGTTGTGCAGGAACAGTTGTCAGGATGCCAGAGGGTGTGTTCTCTGTGACAACCCAGGGTTAACCTCTGTGAAAAGGGCTAGCCCAGGATTCAGCACAAACTACAAGAAGAATGGCAGTTGTGGAAAGGAAACAGTCTTCAGAGAGTCGGGCTAAAACTTATCTGGTTGGATCACCTCTTTCCAGTTTGAGGATCATTAGATTGCACATGATCTTGAGAGCACGTGATAGACCAGAACTTCCCCTGCAAGCAAAAATGACCAAACTGAGCTGTCCTACATCAGGGCACATCTTGAGAAGATGAGACTCACTGGAGAAGTGATCATGCTTGGGAAAGCTGAAGGTAGAAGAAGAAAAGAAAGGCCAACGATGAGATGGATGGACTCCACAGAGGAAGCCACAGCAATGAATCTAGAAGTGATGAGTGGGGCTGTCATGAATAGGACATTTGGGAGAGCTTTGATTCATAGGGTCACCCTAAGTTGATGATGCCTTGACAGCACATGACAACAGCAACTGTAACAACCACCACAGCTCAGCAGTGTTCAGCCAACCATTAGTTTTGCTGTTAAAACTATAGTTCTTAGAATGTCATGATTTTGTAAATGGAGAGTGGTCATTTTGGGCAACTTCCTAAGCATGTATGGTAGTCACAGGTCCACCTGCTTTGCATCTGTACAGGAGGCAGCTTACAAGAGGTAGTCCTAGGAAATTCATAAATCACAGACTTGAAAATATGCCTACTGGCAGCATGTTGCCACCTTGGCTCACATGATAGATTGCTTTGAGTTTTGAAAACCTTTGTCCCAGTCTGTATCACTTGCACTGTTTTCTTCCTCGGCATCAGGTACGACAGGGAAAGCATCATCACCACCACCAGCAGCTGTGGATGTGAGGCAGATGAATGAGAAACTGGAGACCATCTTGTTTCAACTCCGCCAGGTTACCCGTGAGCGAGACGAGTTGCGGAAGCGACTTGCCCTCTCCTCTCCTGGGTCAACCTTTGATGACTGCAGGTAAAAGCATGAATTTTTGTCTCTTTCCTGGACAGCAGCTATTTATTTATTTTTTTAAAAAAACCCACAATTTTCTTTGTATACAATAGACCTGGGTGAAGCATCTAGTTCTTTCATCCATAGGTTAGCACTTTCCAAGACTTCTTGGATTAATCAGTTTCGTTTGTGCAATTAAGCAAGTTACTCTTACGTGTTATGGTGAATAAGGTAGTTCAAATCCTCATTCAGTCACCAGAGTCGCCCTCTCAGAGACTCTGAGCTAGCTAGTCTTTCCCATCTTTACATAACTCACAAGGAGCTTTCTCATGATCAGCAACCTGAGCTGACTGAAGGAGGAGCAGGATGCGAATGAAGGAAATAAAGTGGCATAGCAGGACTATGATAATGCTAGTTATGGTCCTTCACCAGTCACAATGGTGCAGGAAGACCTCCTGCAACAATACAGGAGAGGCTGTGACCAAGGCTGTGTGCCAAAAAGATGCAAAGATAAGAGGTAAAGCCAGCATATTTGGAGTAGACCCATGGAAACGAATGAGATTGTGGTTAGTGATGACTACTTTAAATCCAATTTACTGGGTCTGCTCTAAATAACAGTGGCACATTTTTCCTCTCTAGACATGCATGAGGAAAATGCTCCAAATGTGGATGCAGGCATGTTCCATCATTTTTTTTTTCAAATTGTTGAACAGATCCTTGCATTCATCTTGTTTCTGAATTCACCAGTTGCCCAGTTCAACCCCACTTTAGTGTATGGAGGAGATTTGTGCAAATTTTGGGAAATTTGGGGAAACGTGCAAGGCTAGCAGCAAAGTGATGTCCACGGAATCACACATAACACCTGTTCACCCATCCTTATGAAAAGCCAATGCAGGCAGATACTTGTGCCAATGACATCAGCGCTACAATTTGCATGTAATCCCCATTTCTTCATATGATACAGTGACCAGGCTGTCATACTGTCTATACTTACTTTGCTCGTACACTCTGGAGTGATCCGACATTGAGCCTGATAGCTTTTTCTACCCTTCGTTTATTTTTGTCTATTTACATTTTTAGCCAGTTGTCTGAAAGACAATTTAAATCAGAATTGCATTGATGCATTTCATGAAAAACAACAAGGTCACCTTTGTTTTTTCCAGGCCCGCTTCATTGGTTCTAGATTTTGTGTACAAATATGAACTGCTGTCCTGAAAAAGGACAGGTGGAATAATTCTGGTTGGAATTTATTTACAGTTACTGCCATGCAGTGCTGTGTCAGGAATCCGGTGTGTGTGTGGCGGGGGAGGGATATGTTGTGTTTCCTGGGCTCGGCTCCCCAGATTCCCGTTGCTTTCGTTTTGCCCTCACTCCGCATTGCACTGAGCTTTCACATGAGCATCCAAGCAGGAAGTCAGTCCAGGCGGGTCTGTGATGTTGGTTTGTGTGCAGCCGCCCATGCACTTGCTGTTCTGCTTGCACACCCAGTGGCTTATGGGCTTTACATCTTTTGCACAAAGGAACCACTAACATGCCCAGATGTTTGTGGATCCAGATTTCAGCCTGCTCTTCACATGTCTAGAGTTAAGTTCTTCTGGATGCCTTCACTTCACTGACGTGGTACTCCCCATCTGGTAAAAGTAGAGGTAGGCTGCGAATTAGTTAACATGTGACTGAATGTTTGCAGGTTGCCTGACCCTATAATTGTGGTTACTTCCACAAAATTAGGGATCTGGTTTCAATGTACATTTTTGCTCTGGATTCCTTGTGAGACCCTCTGTAATGCCTTCAGGTTTTATTTACACAAACTAGTTTGTCAGGAAACATTCTTAAAATATTTGGCTGTTATTAGTAAAAGCTAGAATTGTTTTATCCTGGTATCAAAAAAACTGAACAGTTCCTCTAGTGAAAGAATGGCTCTTTAAATCTTTAAAAATTGTACATATGGATAAATGTTTAGTGGGATGAATAGTGGTAATGATTTAGGTAAAAGAAGTGGGTTTGGGAGTTGTTTGTTTTCACTAAATTCCATCCTTTAGTTTTTATTTGGATATTCAGATTGAATGTTTGTATCTGATATTTTGTGTAGTCAGTATTGGTATACTTGTACCCTAAATCATGCTTAAGACCAACAAGAGAAGTTAATGGCTTCCTCTTGGCTTTGCCTTGATTAAGAAATCAGCAGCATTATGTCCACACACAGCCACTGAAATAAGAATCATTTAGAAAATGGTCGTTTTATTTTCTTGGTTTCTTGAGAGGGATACGCCAAGCTTATTATCCCTATGATTTCAGGTGATCCTTTTAAAGGCAAGAAAAGTGTAATACCTATCCTTGCTGAAGCTCAAAAACCTATATAGAAGACTTCTATGTGCTTCTTTCAATTAATACTTTAAATGTACCATACCAATTAACTTTACTTTTATTCTAGTGATTTTAAAAGCACAGGTTTATCTGACAGCTGCTCTCTTTTTCGTGGCAGGCCTAGTCCCAAGCCAAACCATGACTACGAAAGATTGAAGATACAGTGCATGAAAGCCATGTCCGACCTGCAGTCTCTACAGAACCAGCACACCAAGACGCTCAAAAGATGTGAAGAAGCGGCAAAGGAGGCCGACTTTTATCAGTAAGTAAAGGCGAGCAGCACCAACATAGAGGCGAGCAGCGTTCTAGCCCTGTGTATCAGGCGATTTGCTTTAGACGTGAATGTTCTTCTTCGCTGGTTTTAACATCAGTCAGGGGATAGTTTTCAAAGCTTTTGGTGCTGATGAAGGATTACATTGGTTTAATCTTTTCACATAGAGAATCAGCCTCTAAAAATGATGCAAGATTAATTCAATGTGGAATGATTTAGCAACTGATTTCTTGATGGGAAGTGCAATTTCTTGGATTCTAAAGTCACCTATTAGTACAAATGACATAGATCACGATCAGAAGAATTAACGTGATTGTTTTTGGTTTGATTTAGTGCAAAGCGAACAAATTGAAGCAAATGTTGTGCAGAATGGTTTTTAATAGTATTCTTATATAATAGATCGCATTGATCTTTGGCAGCCTTGTACCTGCTAAAATCCAGACTTACAGATTGCTGATTGCCTGGAGTATAAATCATTGTCCATGAGCAAACACCAACATAATCCACTAACTACAGTAGAGGACAACTCCATGCATGGCTGCTAGGTCTATAAAGATGCCATCTTATTTATGCAATAAAATGTATTCCATACGTATTTCTATAAATATTATCTAGAATGACCTGCAACATTAAACCACAAATCATAATAAAAATCCACATCACTGCAGTAATAATACCTTGCAACCTGTTAGTAAAGCCAACCACCCAGCCAGGTGCCCAGGAGCTTTTGCGGCCAAGTCCATGCTCTGAACGTCAGCTTGGCCTTCTCCAGCCTGGCAAACTGTAGATGCTTTGCAGGGCAGGACTCATAAGCTGATGGTCAGGGAGAAGAGATGCTGTGTTTCAAAGTATCTGGAAGGCGTCATGGTGGGAAAGGTTGCCCTCACGGTCCTTGGCCGTGCACGTGAGAGGGCACAGAACCGTGCAAAGGCGAGGGGAAAGGCTCGGCGGGAGCTGAGCTGCACTGCAGCCGATTCAGTACGGGCGGACAAGCTGCTGCGTGCTCAGCAGCAGAGGCAGCAATGTATGGCTGGGGATTGTGGCGGATGGCCCTTTCCATCCCCTCCATGCCTCTGGCCTAATAGGGAACGTTGGTTGCTGTCCTGAGGCCGATTCTGGGGCCCTGTGCATAGAAACCACTGGCCAAATATTTTGCAGAAACAAACAAAGAAGGCCTATCTTGCCAACGGTTGGTCAGGGAAGCCCTCCTCAGGCATGCAGGAGCTGACCCAGCACAGTGTGGGTATGTGATGTTTGCCTGCTGCTCCACATGCATCCACCCCCTGCCGCTGCTCAAGGGATATGTTCTACGGCAGAGTCTGCATGCAGGAACATCTGTTGCGTAGAATTCGCAGCAGGAATGGTTCCTCTGAATTGAAGTCCGAGCCCTATTTAAGGTGCTTGTGATGGTCTATGAAGCCCTAAACAGCTTGGGACCTGGGTGCCTGAAGGGGCGCCTTCTTCCCTGTGTGCCCTCCCATCCCTTGAGATCCGAGGCAGAGGCCCTGCTCCAGGAGCCCTACTTGAAGGGGATCAGATCCAGAGGAGGGCCGTCTTTGTGGTGGCACCCCAGTTACGGACCAAGCTCCCCAGAGAGGTTCACCTGGCGCTGACGTTATATTCTTTTCGGCATCCGGTGAAAACCCTTTTATCTTCCCATTCTTTTAACGTGTAGTTTGTTTTAACTGGGGCTTTTATCCTGATTTGCTGGATGCTGTGTCTGTTTTGCAGTTTTATTGTTCTTTATTGTAAGCCATTCCTAGATGTCAGCAGTGGACCGGGTACAAAAGTTTTCAATCAACGAATTAAATAATATAAATAAATAAGAACACCTCTGCTTTTCAAATGCCCGTGGAGCATGTTAATGAGCTGTGGACATTCCCGATCTCGCCAGCACGCTGCACAGCCGGCTGCTGAGTGACCAGTCGCAGCTGAAGGAGGACATGGACACCTTGAAGCGGAAGAACACCCAGCTGGTGCGAGAACACAACCACCTCCAGCAGTCCTGCGAGGAAATGAAGAGGCTTCACGATGAAGACCAGAAAGAGATCTCGGACTTGCGGACCCAGCAGCAGCAGGTAGTCTGTGCCGCCCCGACCCGCCCAGTTGGACTGCTCGCTCTGTTCCTTTTCTTTCCCCCGTGGTTCTGTAAGCACACGGGGGCACTGCAGGAGCGTCTCTCTTCACGCCAATTTTATAGCCTCTTTCTCTGCCTTAATTTCCATAGAGTACAGCACTGGCCATAAAAAGGCGGATTCCTCGCAAGGAAAAGCAAGTCTAGTTGCATAAATGACAACCCACTCCTTTTTCTGCCGTGTGACACCTAGTACAGTGAATGGGATGCTTAATTTGTATTTGTTGTTGTTGCTAAATCTAGATCACCCCCTGCCCTGTCAAATTTGCTGATCTGGAACATCTTTCACTAGAATGAAAATTGGTTGAGAAAAGTTAGGGAAGAAAATCAAATTCTTTGTACATAAAATATGGTATTTTGGTGTAGCAGAGAGTTATTGGTCCAGATGGTCTGAGTAAGTATTTGTTTTCTATATTCATTATTTATGTTTAACATTTACAAATTATTTCAAGCAAAGCTACTCTCATTATATAAAAAATACAATGCAGAGACAAAATAAATGGAGAAAATAATACAATAATTGCAAAATAATATTTATAAATTATCTTCATCATAATTTTTAAGGAGCTCTAGTTCCAAGTTACTTCTGTAGATTGAAATAGGTTAGCCAAAATTAAAAGATTTTATTGAAACAAAACTGTCATGAGTATTCGCACTCTCTCGCTCTCAAAAAAAAAGAAAAGAAAAGAAAAAAGAAAAAAAGCAAGCCAGTGTTTTCAGGTTGTGAGACTACTGCATAATCAAGGGAGTTAATTACTATTAATTAATACAATTAACTGTGTATTTCCACCCTGTGATACTTTAATTATTTTTATTATAAAAGTTCAACCAAAGAACTGAGAGAGGAAAAAATAAAGAAAAAATACAGCTACAGCGGTACCTCGGCTCACAAACGCCTCAGTTCATGACCAAATCGGGTTGTGAACAAAAATTTCATAACAATTTTGACTCAGGTGGTGAATGCCACATTGGGTGGTGACCATGATCGCGGCCGTCTCCCCACCCCCCCAAGTGGGGAGATGGCCGCGATCATGCTGGGGGCAGGGGTGGGGAGATGGCCGAGATCGCGCCCGTCTTTCCTGCAAGAGCACAACCGCAATCTTGGCCATCTCCACCCCCGCCCCGCTCAGCACAATCACGCCCGTCTCCCCCCTCCCCGAGCGAGCCTGCAATCGCACCTGTCTCCCCCTCTCAAGTGTGCCAGGATGACGGGCACGTGCAGGGATGAAAGGCGCGATCGCAGTCGTGCTGGCGGGGGGATGGGGAGATGACCCCGCTCGTGCTCGGGGTGAGGGGCGGGGAGATGGCCATGATTTTTGTTGTTCTTTGTCACTTTGCTTCACATTTTTCTGATTAAAAAAAATAGTTACTGAACGGATTAGCCTTATTTTCATTGAACCCTGTGGGGAAATTTAACTTGGCTCATGACCAATTTGGGTCATGACCAGAGTCCTGGAACAGATTAAGTTCATGAGCCAAGGTACCACTGTATATAGATTCAGGGGACACTTTCCAAATAGTAGATATTTTTATTATCTGTATTTCATATTGCATTTTCTTGTATTTTAACAGCTGTTGTGAATTGCTGAGAGAGCTTTGGCTATTAGGTGACACAGAAATATAGTTAATAATAACAGTAAAAACAAGAATAATAACAAACCTTTGAGTAACTATTCTCATATTCAACTTGAATCGACTGCATGCCAAATGCTCTGAGCAAATGATTTTTTTAAAGGAAACTCATTAGAATAGATTAGAATCTTACAAATATTCTACACTCTTGTTGGGGGAGACCGTATATTCTCTGATCTTAATAGTTACTCTCTTGATAACTCGTTGGTTTCCACCACCTGTATGATACCCCCAGGTATGAATTCCTACCATCTTGTGAGTATAAGCACCCTTGGCTTACCGTGAAGCCATGGTAGATGGAGAGAGAAAGGAAGTGAGTGGAGCATCCTGTGGACTCATCAATGGTGGGCAGAAGGTGGATCTTCAGATGTTCTAGGATTCTACTCCCTGAAGCTCCACAGGCATAGCCAGTGGTCAGAATGCCAGGTGATCAAGTCCAGAACCTCTGGAGGTCTGCTTTCTAGACACCTTTGCCATACACGCTCCTACAGGCCTCCTAGAAGTTCAGGGCATGCTCCTAGCGAAAGAATTTATATTCAGGGCACACACACAAACAAGTTCGTACTGCAAGGGCTAAACAGGCGCAAGTTTCGGGCCCTCTGGCATCTTTTCCTTCCTGAATTAAGGAATGAATGGTGCTGGGCAGCAAAGGATTTGGCTTTCAGTAGGAAAAATGGGCATGAGTCCAGCTCCTCTGTGATTACCCCATAAAGCCAAGCATCAGTTTTGTTGTGCTGGTGGGAGATGGACTGAGGCTGGTTCTGAGAGACTCACAAAGAACCCGTTACCTCAAAGTGGCTACTCTTGTGAGCCCAGTCCAAAACGATCCTTCTGTTTTGATGGGTAAAATCGCCCTGGGGCGATTCAATGAAGGAAACTCATGTTGTGTCATCTTGGAATTGGAGTGTAGCATGTGCATCCGAGCTGTGGTCCTCTCTTTGGGGATGCGATAGTGTGGGGCAGCCACTGTTGGGCGGTTCTGTCTGTGTGCCGATGCTTGTCATTGGTTTCGGCTTGTTCCAGGAGCGCAGCAGCTTGGAGGGACAGAAAGTCTGGATCAAATTACTTCCACCGACAGAGATGGCCATTGATTTTCTGTGCAGCAGCTGACTGGCTTAGGAGGCGGCCCAGCTCACGTACAAGTCTTGTGGTTGCCATGGCGGTACCCTTTGGCCCAGCTTGGATTATTTACTCTACTTCCTGCCAGGGAATTGAATGCGAGCGCTCCCTCCTTGTTGTGCCTCCTCGTCTTTTTCTCTACTGTTATTCCACTACTATTTTTTTGATTCTTTTTCAAGCGAACCATTTAAACTTTTAATTCTTGGAGATTACCTGGGTGTTGTTTTCAATATGCTCATTTGAATCTCACAAAACATTTTGAGGGCATCTAAATGTCCCTGCCCAAGATCTCAGCAGAAACAAATTTGACTTCTGTCTTTGCTCCCTGGGTAGGCACTTTTCAAGTGGAGTTGCTCTGTCTTTAAGGCTGAATCCCATACTCCTGGTACAGAAACGCATGTGTCATTGTCGTCATTTAATTTAGATGCCGCTTTTCCACCCAAAGTGGCTAACAAAACAACAAAATTGTAATGCACCCCAGTAGATTGTGTGTAATCTTGCACTCTGCAAGGTCCTAAGCCAATGGTGGACCTAGTCGGTAGTACATTGGGTATATTCTCACAGGTGCATTTGAGGTCTTGTGCATGTATACACACAGCCTGTTTCCCTCCTTGCAGTTGTATTTATGCATAATTGTGGCCATGTATGGATTTGAGAAAGGTGGGCACCATGTCCCCTCCTCTTGGCTGAGGCTCCTCTCTTGCTCGGTGTTTTACCAAAGCTCTGAGCACCATTCTTGTCAATCATGCATTGCCTTCTTTTCCTCTTTGGATGTTTGCTATTACTCTCTGGGAGCAGGTGCTTGCTGAGCAGCCAACCTCAGGCAAATGTCGAAAAATGTGCAAGCCAGATAAAACACCAAGTGTCAAGCAGCCAATGCCCCCCACTACTGGCAATTTAATTGCATTGCTTTAACTTGCTTTTATAACTTCTGTGCATTTTTGCAGAGGCTGCAATGGGCCCTGCAAACAGTGTGCCATCTTGTGGTGAACCAAATGTCATTTTCTTGTTGTCTCTTGAGTATGCAGCCTTTTCTTGATGCCTTGTTCAATATAGGCATGGTTTGATCAAACCAAGACAACTGCCTTGGTCTTCTAGGATAGTTATTTTGATACGGAGGAGCAGTCAATCAGGTGGACTGCTACCTCCCATCTGTGATTGTACAGTCAGCCTAGATTGGCCCCAGCCGTTGCCGTCCATGAGAACACAGCCAGGGTCTCAGCCCTGTTTAGACTTTTATTAGGAGATGGGAAGCTTTTCATGGGGAAGAGAAATGCCTTCTCTCACCCGTGTACCTAGGATAATGCTCAGTGTGCTGCTTGTATTATGCCCACTGGATTTGAGCACATCCTCTGTGTGGAGTTTCCATGTGGAGCACCTTCATCAGACCTGCAGGAGCCAGCTGAAGGGAGACGTTCATTGGCTGCCTCACCACACAAAACTTGCCCCCACCTGTTGATGCAGAGGCCAGAGGGAAGGTCCAAAGGCAGTTGAGGAAGAAAAGCAAAAGATCGTGCCGTGTCATTGATAACATTAAAAATCTAAGCAGCCTCTGCAATACGCATTTCATTCTAGGAAATAGAGAATGACTACCAGACAGAAGAATGGCTTATTTTATAAGCTCTGGGAAAGCAGAGAGCAATTTCCCATTCCAATTTAGAGAGGCTCATGTCTCGATTTAGAGAGGTGAGAGCATCAGCAACCTACCGTACGCTGGTTGCTGTGGACTGGCGGAAAGGGCCATGGTGTTCTCTCCCCTGCCCCCAGTAGCTTCAGCTGGTGATGAAGAAGAGGATAATCTGAGCCCTGAAACATGTTGGCAGGAAAACACGTGGGCATCAGAGATGTTGGGAGTAGCGAATGAAACAAAAATAGGGAGAATGTGTGAGATGTTGGTGTTGTTTGCGGAGGCGGCTGCAGTTTGTAAGTCTGAAAACTACTTTTTAGGGAACTGTGTGCAGATCCCGTAAGGGGCCGAAGGCACAACCCATCTGTTGTGCTGTCAGAGCCCATAAGTCTGTGTTCAGCAGCAAAGGTAATCCACACCTCCCTGCATCTCCTCCTCTGCTGCCCAGCTAGAGGAGCATTCGCTGCCAGCTAGCTGAGGTGCCTCGGGGGCAGGGAGAAGGAGCTTGGCGTGCTGTCGGGGTCCCTCATATCCTAGCAGCCCTGGTCCCTCACCTACCTGGGACACCCCCGTTCCTGATTGCCCAGCCTGGAGAGGTCCCAGCGTGGTCCTTCGGCACCAGCTGCAAAGGAGGGAGGCGGCAGCTTTGAGTCGGAGCACTGTCTGGGATTCAAAGTACCCATGTGCCCCAGGATGCTTTCTGGGGGGTTCAGACTCACTCCTCAGTGCCCCAAATGAGAGTGTTGCAGGTCTGACCGTATTTTATCCACACAGCTGTCCTCTGTGCGCTCTTCCTTGCATTTGGCCCTTTCGAAGGCCGCATGTGTTTCTTTTTGTTCTTGCTGAACTTTAGCAAGAGATTTCTCATTCAAAATAGATACGCGTGCCAACTTCTGTATGCTCCTGCAAGCAGCCTGAGTGCAAAAATTCCGGTGACCTGGAAGGCTGAATCTGCAAGAGCAGCCGAGATTGCCATGGAAAAGGGCACTGGGTGTGGACTGGAAGAGGGACAGGTTTTCTCTCCTCACGGGGTCCATTTAGAAAAGAGTGGACATACTGTACATTGTTACTGTTATTACACTGCATGTTTATCTTGCCTTTTTTCTCTTGCGAGGAACCCAAGTCTCTTACGTAGCTCCGTTTTATCCTCCCAACAACAACTCTGTGAGGTAGGCTGCGAGGGAGTGTACTGTACTCTCTCTGTGGAGTGTGTTTTTTCCTTGATTTTATGGTGATTTGCTATTTGTGTGATAACAGAGAAGGCATCCTCCGGGTGCAGGAGGGCTGGCTTTGAATCCTGCACTGGAATTGTAGGAGAAAAGAATGGCTGAATGTAAACAAATCTTTGTGTGCAGAAAGTTTTTGCTTGTCTGGAATTGTGTGATCTGTTATAGAAGAGGGATAGGAAATGTGGCACCCCAATGTATTTGGTCACCTGCCAGCATGGTCAATGGTCAGGGATGATGGGAGGTGTAGTCTGATAACCTCTGGAGGACCACCAGTTCCCTGCCTTGGACAGGAGGGGGAATTCCATGCCAGTTCTTTATGACACTCCACCAGCTTCTGTTTTCCTTCCTCTTGTCATTCTTGGATCCAGCCAGTGGCTGGTTGCTTTGCCATTTCCTGTTTATGTTGTGACTCTTTTCAGGAAGGGTGGAAAAATAGGCAAGATAAAAGGTAAACATAACTCAAACTCCCTGAGCTTTCCTGAGGTTGCCCTGCCTGGAGTTTTTACCCACAGCCCCTTTCCCAATCCTAGGTTATGAAGCAGAACGGGTCGTCGGAGATACTCAACAAACTCTACGACGCAGCCATGGACAAGCTCGAGGGTGTGAAGAAGGACTACGATGCGCTCAGGAAGCGGCACAACGAGAAGATTGCGAGCCACAACATGGATCTGAGCCGACTGGAGCAGACGGAGGAGGAGAACAGGCGGCTGCAGAAGCAGATCGACATGCTGATGAAGCAGCGGGACACGGCCGTGCATTTCCAGCAGCAGTACTCCTCCTCACTGAGAAGGTCGGAGGCATTTCCGGGCCGCTTGTCCTACCTTCCCTTTTGGCTCTAGACCCAACTAGCACAACTTCTTTGGTGTTTCTGGGCTCCCTTTTCCTATATTTGTCACTCCGGGCCAAGTAGGCCTGTCAGGAACTTCCAGACTCACCTGTCTGGCTTATCCATGCATAAATTGGAAACACTCCAATTATGATATCAAAAAGTGTGCACGGTGGGGCATGGGGGAACCTCCTGTCTTGCATCAACTCTTCCTCTCAGTCTGGTTCCGATCCCTGAAACGAGCTGGGCTTGAAAGTCCTCCATGGGGAGAACTCAGCACCTCTCACCAAACCCTCCCCCTTTGTGTTGACATTAGTCGTCTCTTCCCCACCCCTCACACGTGAATAGGACCAACACGTGTCCAAAGAAGCATGGCAGATGCTATTGCTTCGAGCGCTGTCCTTGAATTAGTTGAGCGCAGTGTCCTGAGCACAGAGAGGCCCTCTGGCAGTTTGTTGAAGGGGTCACTGTAACTTTATTCTCCGCAGATTTGAGAGTTTGCAGCAAGAACTGAGCAAAGCCACTGCCCAGAACAAGGAGCTGCAGCGAGAGATGGAGCGGCTCCAGTCCGAAGTGACAAGGTTTAAAACGATGCAGCTGAAGGCGGTGAAGGATGCCGAGAAGTACAAGGAGGAGAGGGACTCGGTTTTCAGCGAGTACCGACTCATAATGAGCGAGCGCGATCAAGTTATCAAAGAAGTGGATAAGCTGCAGACGGAGCTGGAGGTTGCGGAGTCCAAACTGAAAAATACGTCTTCGGAGAAGAGAGTAGCCAGTGAAGAAATGGAAGCTTTGAGACAGGTACAGTACCTCGAGGCACTTTCTGTCAGCGGGTGGTGCTGTGCCACAATGTGCAAGCTTCTAGGTAAGACACCTAAGAGGATTAGCTTCACCGGGGGGCTGCCCACGCCCTCTTCCAGAAGGAAGCAATTCCCTTTTGGAGACTGGATAATGGCAAGACTGCGTAGGTGGCTGCATCCTGCTCTCCCATGTTCGGCTGACAACTTCCAGTGGAACTCACCTGGAACGCTTCCCTGCAAGACCATTCTCCCTGCATAGAACCCATGGCATGGGAAGGGCTCCTAGCACAGCCGTAGTTCCATGGGTCCTGGGTTTTCCAGCACTGAGCTTCACTGATTGACTGTGTGCTGCCGAATTAGGTGAGGGGGGAGATCTCCCTTTGTGCCCTGTGTGATTTGATACACCTCACAGCTATCCACCCCTCACCTGCCTTGGCTTTTTTCTAGGCAAATAAGCTCTCTACTTCAGCTGCTCGGTCATGTGAGTGCCCCCTTTCTGCACATTCCCTGTTTGGTGTGCAAATGAAAGCAACTCTCCTCATTCAGATACGTCAGATTAGGAAGCCAGAGAAGCACCAGACTCAGGAGGGAGGCAGTACAAAAGGCCTGCCATCACGGTGAGCACTTGACCTCAGGAGACATCACAGAGGTCACGAGATGTTGCAAGTTGGGCCTGTTTGCCTGGATCAGCAGCTCCCTCAGCCGGATGGTGCTCCAGAGTGTGGTGTTCCCACCTTGAGGTCGCCAAATTTCACCAAATTCATCTGGCCAGCCCCTCCTGGGAAGTACCAAGGAAGCGGCCCAGACATGTGGAGGCCTCCATCACACCACAGCAGAACAAATTTCGTGATAAGTTCCCAGGTGTTCTTTTCAGGTCTGGTGACCAGTATTCCAAGTGTGGTTGCACTATAAATTTGTGCAAAGGCATTTGGATGTAGCAGCTTATATTCGGTTCCTAATGTTTCCCAAAAAATCCACCTTTTTCACATTGGCCACACAGAAAAGCAGCTCCGGAAAAGGGGAATCATGAAAAAGGGGAATGGTTAAGTGCTCTCTGATAGTTGTTGCTTCTCTTCCGCAAATTGTCACCTTCCACCGCAGATTTGCAGTTATTTGGCTAATTCAGTATTTGGATACTGTAGGAGGCTTAACTTTTAAGATGTTTATTAATGCATTTAGTGCAGGTTCATTCAGTGCCTTCTTTTTATTAACTGCACACACTTTACAAATGTCAGTGTCTACTCACTGAGAGAACGACTTGCATCAGTACTCAGTGGCCCTACCACTGACGGGCTCTAATTTTAGGAACTGAATTCTGCCCTGGTGGAACGCGATCGCGCGATCTGCGAAAGGAATGAGCTCTTAGAAAAGTACTGCCATGAAGTGAAGGACAAAGCCGAGGCCCAGAAGGAGCTGGACCAGGCGTGCAAGGACATTGAGACCGTGAAGGAGGAGAGGGATGTGGCCCGGAAGGAACGGACAGAAGCCATTATCCAGAGGGACCACCTGCTGAGAGAGTACTATCAAGCTCGCCAGGTACGGGCCAGGCAAAAGGTTGCACATTTATGCTATCGCATTTAAGCTATGCTTTTATAGGCCATCCAGAGACTCTGGAACTGGAAGGCATATAAAAATGGTAAATAAACAAACAAACAAACATAAATCAATCAATCCCCATGCATTTGAAGGTTTCTTCATAGCATCGGATATCACATGAAACCCTTTCATAAAAATTCTCAGTTTTACAGAAACCAAAGGAATCTTTGGAAAAGGATAAAAGGTAATGGTGATTGATTGAAAAATAAAATCACTTGATTTTAAATTGTAAAATTGGGTTCTGATCACTAGATTTTTCTTTCCTTTCCTACCCTATTCCAAATTGCATTCAGTCTCTGTTTCATATTTGAGTTATGGATAACTTAAAGTTCATTTTGTTTTGTTATTTTCTTATTTATAGGCCATTGAATAGCCCTCTAAGCACTCTCTAAGTGACTAACAACATTAAATTGATTTGATTTGATTTCAGTGTATCTTCTCTAAGTATAGCTAAGTCTGGATCCCCAATGAGACCCAGTATTATCTGAGTAGTATCTACATTGTACTAAGGTATACAGTCTGCAATGTGTGGATATTTAGGCACATGCACATTTTAAAATTAAAATGCTTAAATTCCATTAACCACATACAGTAGAAACTATCAACAGTGGGAACACCAGTAAAAGCCTGTTTCAATTTAAGGTCCTTTCCTAAGAATAGCTTCTGGTTCCTTTGGGGAAAGTCCTTTAATCAAATTCCAGCTTGAGCCACAAATGAGCTTTGGTGGAATAGCTTTCTAATAAAATCAGCCTGTGGGGTTTCCATCGGCCCGTCCTTTCCAGCTCCTATGACACACATCCATATTGCTTACTAGCATATGTGAAAGCATCCAAGCCAAATTACTACTGTCTACCAGTTTTGCTTTCATACCATAAACAAGCTGTTTGAAGACCACTCCTAAACATTGGTATTGATTGGTCGAACTGCGCATAATTCCCCTTTCTCAGATACAAGATTCTGCTACGCTGGATATAGAAAGAGCGAACAAGGAGATTGAGATGCTCCGGAAGCAGTACGAGGCAATGTCACAGGAGTTAAGAGAAGCAGTCCAGGAAGCAGAAGTAGCAAAATGCAGAAGAGACTGGGCCTTCCAAGAACGTGACAAGATTGTTGCAGAGCGAGAGAGCATCCGGTAAAATGCAGCTTATCCTAACTGTGCTAGCCAAGAGTTCATTTGCAGTGCAAAATTCCTATAGCGAAGTAACACAGTAAGACAAACTCTCAAAGCTGAGGGCCTAAAAATTTAAAATAAATGCATTAAATTACAAGCGATCCATCACAATGGAGCATGGTTAGCAAAGGGTGAAATCCTATACATGGTTAAATGCATTCCGCTGAAATTGACATTGGATATAATTTTGTGGTCCTGAATTAATCAACTGATTAGTAACTATGGGCTGAAAATAAATTTTTGCTTTTAAGTCAAAGAGAGCAAGCAATATACATCAAATGCAAACTATGGAGTTGGGAGGGGTGGAGTCAGGAAATTTCAGTTAAAAGTTGTAGAGGCTCTGGAAGATCAAGATAGACTTTGTCAGTGCCAATGAAAAGGTCAGCGGAGTTGTGGCAGGAGCCACCCTGCTGCACACTCACACTTGCCCGATTCATGTGTGCATTGGAAGCTGCACGTGGGCAGAGGGGCTGGGCCTCTCATCCTCCCACGTTTCCAGGTCCCGTCTGTAACTCGAGATTCATTTTCCCAGCTCCGTTTTAACATCAGCGATAGTTCAGTTTCTTGCCATCGGGGCAGCGTCTAATTCTTTGTCCAGCCATCTGCTGCCCTAAAAATGCAAGCCAGCCAATTGCTTCATAAATAGGGTCTTTAACCGAGGCCTCTTGGTTAAAGCTGAAAATGGACGACCCCCCCACAGGCACCTTCCATTGCCTGGGCATCTTGCGCAGCCTTTAATTTGCCTTTCTTTAAAAAGCAGGGAAACGACTGTTTTAGAGAAGGCTTTTAGGAAAGAATCTCCAGCTGTTCTAACTTTGTGGTAGGGATCCGCAACATGCACCCTCTTAAATGCTAAGATCTGGCTTTTTAAAGAGTTACCATCCAGCCTTCCAGATGCCAAATCAGAGGCAAGAGTATGTGTGGGGGAAACTCTAGCTTCAGGTTGGCCCTCCAAGAAGACTAGCTGCTGACTAGGGTGTCTTAGGCTCTTTTCCCCTCCTTATCCTGTCCTTCCACCATTCTGATGCTCCAGTGAAGATCCATGGGGCCATTCCTTGATCCTGCAGCTCTTTTGGGACTTCATTTCTCCCCCTTTGGTTCTGCAGGACTTTGTGTGACAACCTGAGGAGGGAGAGAGACCGAGCCGTGAGTGACCTGGCTGAGGCGCTTCGCAATCTGGATGATATGAGGAAGCAAAAGAATGATGCTGTGCGTGAATTGAAAGAGCTGAAGTGCGTTCTAGAAAACTCTTCCATGCCTATCTTTGTATCTTGCCATTGTATGTTGAATGTTCCGTGCCTAATATGCTGGGATAGGGCCAGCTGTATGCATACTACCATTTTTGCTCTTAAAATCACCATTCATCAGGGGACCTGGGGAGATACAAGAAGGATGGCAGTGCAAATGTATGGTTTCATGCGATGAACTGAGTCAGCTGGGGAATGGAGCAAACATTCAGCTCTCTCGCAAGAGCATTGTGGTCCTCTCCTCCAGAGCAGCCGTACCGTGCATTTCTTTTGAGGCAGCTAGCTAGGCCACTCTTTAAATTGCAAGGAGCATTCTCAGTAGTCACAACTGAGGACATTGGCCAGTTCACCATCTGCCACCACGGCCAGTGCCGTTCCCTGCTCATGAAGTGCACAGCTCAATTTTTCTGGGCCAACTTTTCAACCAAGGTGACTTCCAAAGAACACGAGCCTTGCACGGACATTTCTTCCTAGATGTGAAAGGCAGCAAAACTGCTCACGCTTTCTCGCGCGTGAGTCCCATGGAAGTAGGGCATACTTCAGGGAAAACTCACACATGAACTTCCACGGTTTGATTAGAAAAGTGAAGGAGAAGAAGTGGTGCCACTCGTGGTGGTGTTGACAAGCAGAACAGGGCGCAGGCGAGAGTCTCAGGATCGTGCCAGCCGGTTTTACATTTCCATTATGAAAAAGAGAGGCTGCAATTCCGGGCCTGTTCAGGTTACTGCAGTCACGTTTGACAGAAATGTCAGGATTGTCGCCAGAATCCCTCTATCTGTCAAAATATTCCAGTACCATTTTTAATAAATATAAAGGTACATCATTGATGTAACAAACATGCAGCACTTCGGAGAACATAAGATTTTTTTGAAAGTCTGCTACCGTCACTTGAAAGATGTCAATGTGGCTCTTCCCGCAGAGAGAAGATGGAGAATCAGTTGGAAAAGGAAGCAAGGTTCCGGCAGTTGATGGCCCACAGTTCGCATGATTCCGCGATTGACACGGATTCTCTAGAGTGGGAAACCGAAGTGGTGGAGTTTGAGAAAGACAGGGTAAGTCTGCACCTGTCTTGTCAGGCAGCTGTTGAAAACAGCTGTTTTTGCTGTTGAAAACTAGCAAAGGGGTGATCCAAGAACATATTAATTCACCTTGTTATCCTACTTGTATGTAACCGATCACTGCAGATAACATCAAGTGTTTCTTATCCATTAGGAAGATATGGATCTGAAAGCTCTTGGCTTTGATGTGGCTGAAGGTGTGAATGAGCCATATCTTCCCGGAGACTGTGGGATCTTTGTGACCAAAGTGGACAAGGGAAGTATTGCAGATGGTCGGTTAAGGTAAGGTACCTGCAGTTTGCCCATTCGTGGGAGTCCATGAAATGAGTCAACTTAACGAAAAATTGATGACTAGGAACAGGGGCGATTATCAAGTATGCATTCAGAGACTTCGTGCAGGGCATCAATGTGGTGGTCCCCCGGGCAGAAGCTAAAACCCACACCTAGAGGTGGAACTGGGCCTTCACAGGTTGTCCTGTTCTCTCTCCTGTGGATTTCTACTCTGTTTGACTTCTGCACAGGGCTTTTTATACTGTCCCTGCCTGCAACAATATCCTTAGAGGTGAGTGTATATTGTCTCCCCTTTTTCTGAAGGTTACTTGAAATTTTTGGATGCCTGGGTACATATGCCCTGCAGAGCACAATCTGTGAATAGATACAGTGCCCAGCTAGCTTGCCTCTCTCTCCCAGAATTTTCTCTGTATCCATTTGAATCCTAATTGGGATCAGGCACAAAATCGCAAATAGCCAATCACTCTAGCAGCAGCATCCACATAGCTTTGGGGGGAAATACAACTGTTTTGGAAGTTCGTAGTACATGCAATATCCAAATGCTGAATCAGAAAAAATATGAGACATTTTCTGAATGTGTGAAGAATATTGAAGCTGTCCCAGTCCTTCAGGTAGTCCTCAGAACGGCTCCCTGACAAGCACAGAGAGATTGCCATGTTTTCCCAACAAAAAGATTTGTTGAGCCTTGCTATTAGAAGGGGCTGCATTTCAGAAGTTAATGGCTGCTCACGCACACATGTAGAACAGACTAAAATTGAGTCTCTTGCTTCTCCTCTAATTAATCAGGGTGAATGATTGGCTGCTGAAGATAAATGATGTGGACCTTACCAACAAGGACAAGAAGCAAGTCATAAAGGCGGTGCTTAACGGTGGGGGAGTCATTAATATGGTTGTCCGCAGGAGGAAGTCCTTAGGAGGGAAGGTGATAACACCGCTGCACATCAGTCTCTCTGGCCACAAAGGTAAATGCTGCTGCACCCTTCGAACTCCGTGCTAACACGTTAGTGCACTCCGGGAGGGAATCTAGAACCTCCGGCTTCTACTCTGAAATGAATGGCGGCGGTTCTAGATTTTCCTAGTGTCCAGTGCTGCGTGCCCAAACTATCTGGTCACAAAGGGGGTGTTCCACTACGTTCTTGCATGATTCACTGCTCGGGCCTTAGAAACATAGAACAGAGAAACCGAGCGAGTCAGAGGGGGTCTCCCGGGTCATCTAGTCTGACCCCCGGCTCCAGCCGGCTCTGCTCACGACATGCTCACCGTGTGCATGTCCAGCCTATCCTTGAACACCCACACCGATGGGGCCTCAACGACCTCCCGTGGAAGCCCATTCCACACCCTCGGGGTCCCAACTGTCAGGAAGTGCTTCCTGGCATCCAAATGGAACCTTGGCTCCCTGAGACGGCATGCTTTGTCGAGCACTTTGTTCAGCATCCCAAACATTCTTTTGTTAAATTTGTAAAGAACCTGCTTTGAACCTGAACCCTGAACCCTGTTGGCCTTTTTCTTCATGCCTCGTAAAATTCCTTCTCAAGCCTGCTGGAATCTTGGGTGCCCTTTTTTTAAAAAAATGCAGAAATTCCCTTTACTTCTGGACTTTTCCTATAACAGCATCTGCATTTTGTAACTGGAAAGCCCCCACTTTGGCCGGCCACCACAGAGTAATATTCAACTACTACCATTCGCGGCACAGGGTAAATAAAACAGTCGCAAACCGAACGGTGGTCCAGGTGGCAGCATGCCAAGGATTCATGCCCTGAGCGTTCATGCACAAGCCACCTCTCGCGCTAATCCCAACGTTCTTCACCGTGGTCTTTGTGTGTCACATGCGTGGGCTTTGCCACACTCACCCAAATCCCACCATTCTCCGGCAGAATGCGAATACTTCCCTGTAACGTTCATGCGCATCCAGCTCTGACCCCAGTTTAACGGGGGCATTTGTGCACCTCTTGCCAAGGCTGAGCAGCAGGTGTGCGTGGCTTCCTGGACCTCAGGTATATCTCCTGGCCTAGGAGAAGGATGGTACATCTGGAATGATGTTTTGAAAGCACGGAGGAGGGACTTAATCGAAATCCAGAAGGGAAGCAGCTAGAGTAGCGCCATTAAAAATTCACCCTTCCATTCTGAAATTTAGACACAGAGGAATTTGGGAAGTAAGGTACCGTGCAGTTATTTACAAGAAGCATAAGTCCAAGCCATTTCCCATGGAGCTCTCAGGAGATGGAAGTGCACACCCTCCCACCAAAGAGGTGGCAATTTTAAGCCTGCCATAGGTGTGTGTAGGGTGTGGCTCATGGAGAGAGGAGGAGGTGTGTTAGGATGACTGCCATGGGACGATGGACTTCCCCAGCATTTAGCTTGACTGTAGTGAACCTGACCGCAATCCGCGAGCAGGCGTGGGACAAGCAGGGCACGCTGTGTGCACGGAATTACTGGATGACTTTGCTTCTCTGTCTTTCAGACAGTGGAATTGGCCTGGAAAATGGCGTGTTTGTTGCTACTGTCGTGCCTGGTGGTCCAGCTGCCAAAGAGGGGTCCCTTGCAGTGGGAGATAGGATAATCGCCGTAAGTCATACGCTTTAGTCTTCCTGGCTCGTGTGTGAGACTTGTTGCATAGGCTCAGTTCAGATACCAAGCCAAACTTGGGTATGTACTAACCAAATCTTGATTCGAGTTTCTACATGCAAGGCATGGACTTGCTAGTCTGCGTTTGTATTTCTTCTGTTCGTTGCTTCAGTCTCTAGGATACGCTGGTTTAATACCGTGTGCAGCAAAAACCGTGCTTTGCCAAACCACTCTTAACTGTTTCTCGGCTCTGATTTGCTGGCTGGTTACAAACCAGGGCTTATCAAATCAGACATCTTATAAACCATAATTGAGCTTCCTTAACCATGATTTTCTCTGCCACCAAAGAGGTATGCTATGTATTCTATAGCGTCCCTGCGTTTATGTAAGAAAAATGACATAGTCAGTCAGAAGAGTAGACTTCCTGGAACTTGCCATGGAACCCCATCTGTCAAGATTGCTCACTGTGTGTCTCTTTTCTCATAAAGGAATTTGATGCAGAAGCAGTGATGGGCCCCTCCTAAGCCATGGTTTACAGTTTAGGAGACACCTCAAATGAAGAGTAAATAAAATATTCTTGTAGCCATAGTTTATAGATATGATTCAAACTATGAGAGCCAGTGTGGTGTAGTGGTGAAGAGCGTGGGACTGGGACTCAGATGATATGGGTTCGAGTCCCCGCTCAGCCATGGAGCGAACTGGGTGACCTTGGGCCAGTCACAGGCTCTCAGCCCAACCTGCCTCACAGGGTTGTTGTTGTGGGGATAAGATGGAGGAGGAGAATGATGTAAGCTGCCTTGAGCCCTTTGTAGGAAAAAGGCAGGATATAAATCGGAAAATAAATAAATCAGAAAATAAAATAAACTATGGTTTTTCACATTTCCATGGGTTAAGTGTAGATGCATGCTTAGGCAGCAAAGGAACAGATGGGGGAACCTCTTTGTGGGTAGGAGACACATATTTGCAGGCAGTTGCTGAGATTGAAAGTAATGCTGCCATGAGAGGGTGAATTCTTGTAGCAGCCTGGTATTTATCTCTGTTGAATGCCAGCTGGCCGAAGCATTTAGTGGCTTTTGCGTTGCTAACATCTCCTCCTCTTGCTGCAGATCAATGGCATTGCACTAGATAATAAATCACTGACCGAATGTGAAGCTTTGCTGCGGAACTGTAGGGAGTCTCTCGCGCTTTCATTGATGAAGGTGAGTTTCGAAAGCATGGCGGGGAAAGAGCAGCCCTTCGTTTTGTGTCATGCATGGAACTTTTACATGATCCAATGATATTGCAGAGAGACCGTCTGTCGACCAAAGGATGGACTCCATCCAAATAGTGTTAACACCTTCCCCTGGCCAGCGGAACTGCTCATTAGCAGCATCTCCACCTTGTCTGTATTGAGCTTCAGGGTTTTAGCTTCATCCCGTCCCTGGCTGCACCAGGCATCAGTTTAGTACATCCACCTGCTTAAGGGTCTTGTCCAAGAAAGGGTTACCAGCCTAAAATTCTTGAGATCTTCCCATCCTGGACAGGGTTTCGTCATGAGTGTCTGTTTCAGGTGGCACAGGGCCAGTTCCTCTTGATTACCTCAGCAGCCCAGCCAGCCATTTTGAGTGTTTATAAGCCAAGAGGGGCAAGGATCCAGTCTGGACCTAGCTGCCCAAACCTGTCCAAGCACCTTGTCACCATCCTGAAGCTGTACCAACTAGAACTCCTCCAATAATACTTCATCAGGCTGTACTCTGAATACCTTGCCTTCTTAAACCACTATAACGTTGGGCTCTTAAGTCCTGGTGGATGCAAGATTTTTTTTGCATTGGCCCTTAAATGGTTCTAAGGAGTCTGGCCCCCAGCAAGCTATAGGTCCCAGAGGGTCCCAAAGAGCTCTGCTAGGCAGCAAGGACAGATCTGAATGGCAGCAGCGAGTTATCACTTCTTTGCCACTTGTGCTGCCCCTTGCGTACGTGATTACACGCACTTGCTAGGGCTCACCCGCATCCTCTGGTGTTTGTCTCCATCTGTGCTCAGGACATGAGCTCCACCACAGAAGGGGCACCAAGGAACCATTGCATTGTCGTCTCAGTATTTCAGAGATGGACCACAGGTTCAGTAGGGCCCGCTGGGAGCCACCCAGATCTGTCACTCATCGGGGCAGGCTGTTTTAACAGACTCCCATGCTTGCAAAGGGCTGACGTTGCCCTTCGTCTAAATCTCTGCAGGCAGTGATCTGACCAAGACAAATGGGCTGATTCAGAGTCCCTGCCTTTGCGTCATGATCCCCGTGCCCAGCTGAAGACAAATCGAGAGTGTGCCCTGCTCTCTGTGTTGGGCCAGTGAAATGCTGGAAAAATGCATGTCATGGAGTCCATGAAATCCTGAGCTGCCCCAGAGTAGGTGCCTTCAACATGGATCTTACCACCCTGAGGGCCAGCAGCCTGGGAAGCCTCAACATCAAAGCCAAGACAGCCTCTGTCAGCTCAGGCAGGGAGGCGGGGTGGGTGGTGCACCAGCAGGATCCCTAGCCCGTCCCACCGGCCCAGCACAAGATGCAAAAATGCCAGGCCATGATGGGTTAAGAGCATCGATCTGCTTCTTGTGGAACTCGCTCTCCAGAGAGGTTCACCAGGCACCGTCACTTTATTCTTTTTGGTGCCAGGCCAAAACCCTTTTTTTCTCCCAGTGTTTTAAGACCTAACTGTTTTAATTGGGTTTTATTATTTGTTAAATTTCAGGATGCCGTGTTTTTTTAAAAGAATTAAATTTTGTGTTGTTAAACCGTCCCGAGACTTCAGTAATGGGACGGTCTACAAAAGTTTTAAGTGAATACATGCATAAATACCTGGGCACATGTTTTTCTGATTTGTGTAGGATTGCGCTGTGGGCATCATTTAGAATGAAGGCAGGTGGAGTGTGTGTGGGGGATTGTGTGTACGCATGCACATATATAAACGCCAACGCTGCTCCAGTAGAACTCGGCTGAAGGCATGTCGTTGTCTCTCCCCCTAGTTCTTTCCTCAGAGCTCCAGCTCTTCCTGGAGTGGGCAAAACATATTTGAAAACCTCAAGGATTCGGAGAAGATGTCGAACTGTAGGGTCCATGCCTCTGAGGTGCAGGTCCAGAATAAAAGAAACTTAAAACACAACAGCTCCACCCAAACGGACATCTTCAGTCCAGACATCATGGATGTCAAGAAGGAGCAAGGAGACCAAGAAAGTGCCTTGTACTGTGACCTCAAGCCGTTCTCTGAAAGCCTCTTGCATGCCGATGCTCACCAGGCCGGGGTCCACGGGTGCCACAGCAACTCGGAGCACAGCCTTGGCTCCTTCAGTCCGGATGTGTATGAAGACCCAAGCTATGGGATGATGAACCTGGACAGCAGGAGGCTGCCCTTTGAGCCCGCCGTGGCCGACTGCATGGTGGTGGAGAGCACCTTGGACAAAGGCCCGGGAGGGAAGCACAGTGGTGGCACCTGGCCGAAAGTGGTGGTCAATATTGCCACCACGGAGACAGAAAAGTTCTCCGTGTACAAAAAGCCCAAGCAGAGAAAGTCCATCTTTGATCCGGACACTTTCAGAAGACCTCTGACTCCTCCCAAAATGGACTATCTGTCTCCCAACCAGGGCTTGGGGCATTCACCCCAGCCCTCCAAAACTGAAGCCATTTCCACCCCTCCCACCCCTCCCAAGAGAAGCGACTCTATTAAGTTTAAGCACAAGCCACAGCCCAGTTCCACCTCCGAATCGACAGTCACAACCGGCTCTCTGCCTACCAGTCCGGCTGCGGTCCAGCCCTCGGCATCCATCGAACTCCAACCAGACTGTGGTCTTCACAAGGGGCGCCATTATTACAGGGAAGATGGGGTGGACTCAGCACATTTGCCTTCAAGAAAGTCCGGTGAAGATGGCGTGGGCTTTCAAAGAGTGGAAGAGCCGGAGATTAAAAGACCAAGGCCCAAATCTGCTCCTGCCTTGAGACATAAACTAACCCCTGTGCCCATTGCTAATCCATCTCATCAGGTAGATATGAGAACCTGAAGGAGGGAACCTGGCCGCCACTCCCTAACGTGATTTAAATGTTTAGCATCCTTTTTCTGCACCCTTTCCTACACCAAAGGGAATCGCACCACAGAAGGGTTAATTGGTTGCGAAAGGCGTGTCATAACATCCAAGAAACTGATGGGTAAAATAAAGTGGGGTGGTTCCATCACCTGGTCATTACCTTCACGGGAAAATAATAGATCTTCCCTTCACAAAAAGATCAAGACAACTCTGGAATTAGTGCATGAGTTCAAGATGCTTTAAGGTTTGCCATGTGGCCAGGTGTTCCTGAAAGGAAGGTGGGGCAGTTTCAGGGGTATTTCTGATAAGATGCTTTGATTGAAATCCAGGTGACCTTACAACAAGTGAACCCACTGAACTGGCAAGAAACCTCGTTCTCCTTGGGGAGACTTCTGGTGTATAGAATTAGGCTGTAAATCAAGAGAGGGTACACACAGGCTTTGCTTCCACCCCTCCTTGCCCCAAAATCACAGTAAATGCATAAATAAATAGTTGGGGGAAGTTATGTCCCAAGCAGTTACGGAGCACCAAAAGTGTCAACATTAGCATGTTTGCAAGTATTTTTACCCTTTTTGCATTCCACAGCTGCTGTGGATAAAATTTCTTCTCCCATATATATGCGGGAGAAGAAATTCATTTATTCACTCAATTACACAGGTAAGGGGGGGCTGTTGTGGGGGGCAAGGCCTTCTGAGTTTGCCCACAGCTGCTGTAAGTTACGAATAATTTTAAATTGTCTATTCAAATTATATTTCCCTTTTGGTAATTCATTTATTTTCTGGGCAAATGTATATACTTCTTGATTTCTGTAACAATTATTAGTTTGATTATTGGTTTCTAACTCAATAGCACCTTTATATACTACCTAAGAACCGCAATAGATTCTGCGTTACTGAATTATCCCTGCTTAGAGAGACATCAGAGTGGGAAGGAGAGAACTGTTGTGAATCTAGTGGATTTCTGTCCACATGCAGGGACACTAAGCGAGATCACTTCTCTGTTGGGAACAGGCCTCCATCCTTTGCTTGCTTATTCAGAAGTAGTTTCCTGGTGCAGACTTCCTTGTCTGCTCAGGATCAAACTGAAAGTGCCCAGAATTTTGTCTGGCAAGTCTGGTGACAGAACAGTAAGAGCCTAAGAAAGGCCCTGCTGGATCAGAATGAAGGTCCATGCAGTCCAACACTTCATATATACGGTGGCAAACCAGCCATCTGAAGGATCCCTCCAGCAGGATGGATGCAGGGCCTCCTCCTGCCCAAGCTCCTCAGCCACTGGTCTATGGAGGCAGGCCAGCTTCGGTGGACGAGGTGGCACATAACCAGCAGGGCTAGTAGCCACTGGTCGCCTCCTCCTGCTCCTCCATGAATCTGCCGAATCCCCTTTTCAACTTATCCAAATTGGTGGCCATCACCTCTTGCCATGGCAGCAAATCCCATAATCTAACCCTACTAGGGTTGTATGAAGGAATGCTGCTTTTTGGCTGTCCTAAACCTCCCACCAGTCAGCTTCGTGGGATGACCCTGGATTTGAGTCTTACGGGAGAAGAAGAAAAATGTCAGATTTTCTCTAAGATCATGGCAGTTCTGTCCTCTATTCCATCCCTCATGATGCTGAGCATGGAGTTTGCCCTTCTCACAACAGCTCTGCACTGGGCTGACATTTTCATCATGCCGTCCACCACCGCCGCCAGATCCCTTTCTTGCCCAGTCACTGCTAGTCCAGATCCTATCAGCCTATACTTAAAAGCTGGGGGCTTTTTTTGCCCCAAGTAGCATTATTTTAGACTTTCTTACCTTGAATGTAGGTCAACAAAAGAAAAAGTGCTATTCTGTGCTGCCTTTTTGGGAGTCATAATGACCATAATACAATCAGCGAATAAGTGAAGGTAGTTAAAGGACATAAAGTAATGGAACTACAAGGTTACCTTGGTGGGCTTAGACCTTGGTGAGATGCAGAACGAAGACTCGTGAGTCCTAGCGGCTGTGTCCAGTAGGAGGCTCAAGAAAATAAATACAAACAACGCCTGATTTAGTGTGTCTTCTTTATCACGTTTGATTTCAAAGCTCCTTGTTTCCCACCACACCCACCCAATGGTTCTGTCTTTTACACAGAAAAGTAACCTTTAGCTCAATGTGTTTGTTCACTTGCTAGGCCCAAATGGAACAAGGCCCTGGGTTTACCACCCATGTTTTTGTGCAAGGGCAGTTAGCAGCTTCAGGAATAATTGAGATGGGACCTACACAACTGTCTTTAAAAAGTCTCCCTTTGCACTGTGTCCCCAATCTAAAGACACACAACTCACGCTCAGAGGAGGTCCTGTGATATATTTCCCAATGCCTCATCTAGTTTGGCTCTGAGTTTGGGGTTTAACGTTCCTATTAAACTGATATTTCATTTCAAACCAGTGTATCCTAAAAGTAGACACTTTCTATAACTAAATGTTTTAATATTTGAAAAATTTTCCAGCCTTGTTTTAGTGCATGGAGGACAGTAGTAGAACTTGGAGGGAAAAGTCCTGTTGAACTAAAGCCGGGCTTGCAGACTGTTAACTAATCCCTTCAGGCGGATGCCAGCACATGCATTGTTTCATTTATATACCACTTATCAAGCTTCCAGGGCCTCCAGAAGACATTAGAGGAGGAGGAGGAGTAATAGCTACTCCTGCTGCCCGGATGAGCTTCAGTTGTTGGCAGTATAGAAATAAAAATAATAACAATACTTAGACATATTCTCATTTAGCTGATAGATCCAAAACAGGTTGAATGGTGTTTGATTCATTTTTAATTATGATGCATGTATTTCCATTCATAGGCTTTGCAGAGCAGTAACAAAAGGGCAGCCCTCTGTGTAGTAGAGGTTTTGAACCCTGGAGGGGCAACTGTGAAGGCAGGGAAGGAAGGACAGAAGCTTTTCATAGGGCAGAGTAGTCATTCAACTCAAGTGACATGTGTTTAGACTGCAGCCCTGTACCCGGTGAGAGGGGAGCATGTCCCACTGAACTCAGTGGTGCTTGCTTTTGAATAGACCTGTCAAGGATTGCATTGCTGCGCTTTCGTTTCTGGAGGTGGGATTCACAGAAGATGTGGAGGAATTTGTGAGACGAGAGGAAGGTGGGCTAGTGGAGGTTTTTCAGGAGGGAGTCCTGAGAGCAACAGAGGAGAAAAGTCAGAGTTGGTGCCAGTTCTCTGTATCTTTTGCACTGATTTCTTGGTTGCCAGCCTTTCCAGTAATGGTTTCAGTTTGTCTTCTCTGGCTCTCAGCAAGGAGTGCTGAGCGATCCTGATAAAATGTAGATAGACAACATACAGAAGATGTGTAAAAAGAGCCAAACAGTTCTCTCTGTGATCCATATTCCACCAATGCTGGATTTGAGTGGGGGGAGGACCAAAGAGACGCCTTGGAAGAGTCACGTGAAGATTGCTAGGCTGAAAATGAGACTGTAACTGGGTGTGCAAGGATCAGTGGAAGGGGAAGATGCATAATCTAGATTGCAAGCTGAAATGGTCCCTTGGCAACCTGACTCCAGGGCAGTTGTCATCTAGCTCCTTGATGGCCGTTAGCACTGAGCAGAGGCCGTGCAACAAGGGACAAAGCTAAACCAGAAAAGAAAAGAGAGATGATCTGGACTTTCCCCGCAGGTACAAAAGTACACTCCCGCAAGCGAAGAGCTGCTTTCCCCCGAGCTGCAGGAGTGGCCCACCTACTCACCAAAATGGTCCAGTAGGCACAGCGATGGGCTCGTGCCGGCCTCTCTCTACTCTGGAAGCTTGTCGGCAGGTGAGTGGCAATGTCTGTGCGACTGTAATGATTCTGTTCTACAGGTGGGCTGATGCAGTGGGCAAGCATGGTGTGGTGGCTTGAAATCCAGCTTTTTTTGAAACCCAGAGGCTTAGCGTGTCAGCCATTATGCGGTGATGGACAGTTTTGGATCTATGTAGGGGAGATTCACTGGAGTGAATGGCGTTTCAGTTAGTCATCGCCAAGCTTGTCTCGAGTCAGCGAGTCTACGTCACGCAGGATTTGTACTGGGCGGTATCCCATGGGCTATAGAATACTGTTGAACTAAACTTCAGAAGCAAAAGCTACTCTTGGTATATGTTTTTCTCCACATTGTGGGTACAGTTGCTATGGGACATCAATATGGTGACGGCCCCTCAGAAAGTCCTGTCCTTGGCAACCCTGATCTGCTCTTGCCAAGTTGAGAAAGTGGCAACTCCTTTGTGGAGTTGACCCACCTCATAGTTGCTCTTCCCCTTCTGCCCTCAACTCTTCCTAACATGACGGTCTTCTCTGGGGAGTCGTGCCTTCACAGGATGATCCCAGCGTAGCACAGCCTCAGTTTTGTCATTTTTGCTTCTAGGCACAGTACCCAGAAACATTGCGCCATGTCCCGCAGTAACAGCTGTTATGAGAAATCCAGTTTACACAGCTTGGAGCCATAGAGTAAACTCTACCAACTGCCCATCTGTTGCTAGCCAGTACTGCCATCAGCACCTGCATCCCAGGTAGGTACCTGAGAAGAGCCGTGATGGATCAGGTGAAATGGCCACCTGATCCAGCATTCTCCTTCCAAGTGTGAGTCGGCAAAGAGGGGTTGGGAGGCCCACAAGCACAGTGTGGAAGCAATAGTTGTGTCCCTGTCCTTCCCTTGCTGCAGGAAGCAGTGTTCTAAGGATCAGTGGGGTGAACCTCTTCATTCCACAGCTGTGCGCTGTCTTTTTCGATCACATTCCTTGAGCCTGTTGTTAGGTGTGTAGCAGAGAATCTGTGTCGGCACTGATCTTCAGGCCCAGGGTCTTGATCCAGCCATCCTGTGTCCCAATCCAACCCTCTGAACTTCTGAACTCCCCTTCCCCTGGTCCCATCCCTTCTCCATTATCTGATGCCTTTCTGGGTTTTGTGCTCTTCTCCCACTCCCATTCTGAAACGTAGAAACGCCTCGCCAGCAATCAGAATGCTAGGCTGTAATATGTGGCTCTCTTCCGCACTTTGGCCCCACCCCATTTGCCTTCAGCCCCGCCCACCATGTGGAGGTGGCCCCCGAGGTCTTCCCACAATGGAATGCAGCTCTCGGGCTGAAGGAGGCTCAGCACCTCTGCTCTGAACTGCTCACAGCCAGCATTTCTGTCTCCACCATAGTGCCCAGCACCAAGGCCGGCTGAGTCTGGACCTGAGTCACAAGCACTCTGGGGACTGTTCTGAAAACTCACGCACAAGGTCATCCCACGGTTCAAATTCACTGCCTTCGAGCGCAAGACTTGGTAAGCGGCATTTCCAGCCGGACACTGCAGGCCATTTCTTTGGCCGGGAAGTGTCCTGCTTCTCTGTGGCCGATGGTTGCCAGTCAGGAGTCCAGACTCTGGCTCACTCCCAGCTTTGGCTGCTGGTGGACAGACTTCCAAAGCAAAGAAGGTTTGGCCCTGTCCAAAGGTGCAGTTTTGCTGTAGCTAAACAGAGAACTGCCCCAGTAATAGAGGAAAAGCTATCCCAGCTTGGAAGAGAAAGTCGTGTAGACCCTACTTAGATTGTTGTGGTCCCTCTCCCAATTCCAGGCTCAAAACTCAGCCTAAGAGACAAACAACCGAAGACAAAAGCAGCGTGGAGCTCAGCTGGAGTGGGTCTAGCGGGAGGAAGTGGCACTCCTTTCCCATTCACCACCTCGGTTCTAAGACTGGACCCCCATCCCGCTTCACATCATTGGATCCACACCATACTTCAACATGGAGCCGCCACCATCCAGTCTCTTGGCCCACTCCAAGTTGCAATATTTGTTGTAGGCTTTGCTAAGCAATACGAAAAGGGGCTGGAGAGAACTGTGCTTTCCTTTTGTTATAAAAGCTTTTGGCAGTTTTGTAAGATTCAGGACCTAAATAATTTTTCTTCCTTTTCTTATTGAATCTTATCCCCCCCTTCTCTGCTTTAAAGTAGGTTCGTCCAGCAACTTGCAATACAGAACAGAACGGATAAAAATACCTTTGACACCAAGATATCCAAGGTCCATCATTGGCTCCGACAGGGGTAAAAATATATATCTTCCAGACTGGGAATGATTCCATATGTTTAGAGTTGGATTCTGTGTTTCTAGTTTCTCTTTTGCATTGGGTGAAAACAGTAGACTTGTAGAAAAAATAGTATCCTTCCACCACCTGCTAATCTCTTATGCTCCAAAAGATGCTTTTTCATAGTTGGAGTTGATGCAGAGTCAGCAATTCTGCATCCATCTTAATGGAATATATTCAACTGGAGTATATTCTTATTCTGCATCATAGAACAACCTGCAATCCATGTGTTTCCACCACTCTGCACACTGTCTGGCTTTTCAAACAACTCTACGATTTAGCAATATGAAGCAGCAAGCCTAGGAGTCAACATCTTACTATATTTTCTGTCTTTTCCCACTTGCTCTGTTTAGTGACAAGGGGTGTATGAAAGCCCCTGGGAAATTCACTAGTTTGGTTAAACGCAAACATAAATTTTAGCTTGCTTTGGCATTTCTCATATGGCAAATCGGTACTGCCTTTCCCCACGGCAGACACTTTGATGTCTTGATGGGGTGCAAATGAAAAACCATGGAGGAAGGCGTGGCTGGACAGGTGTGTTCTGCACTACAACATTTTGTTGTGGCTTCCACTTGTAATGGGCATGGTTAACATCCACTGCAATTTAGAAGAGCCCTTACGTTGTGCTTCTTTGGAGTCCAGTATAAAAGCCCTCGAGACAAATCTCTAGGAATGCATGAGCTGCCCTGCTCATTGCTTGATGTGCTTGCAGCTGGCCCATGAGCATATGCCAGGGACACCCCTGTGTTATCCGTTGCAGGTTCCTTGTCACATTCCGAATGTAGCAGCCCAAGCCTGATCACTCCTCCACAGTCGCCGCTCAACCTGGAGACCTCATCCTTCGCCAGCAGCCAGTCTCAAAATTCCCTTTCCACACTGCCCAGAATCTCAGTGAGTCCAGTCTCGATAGGACAACGTCGAAAAGACAAGTAAGCTGCAGTCATTATGCTGTGACCATGTGTGTGGTTGTGGTTGGCGGGGGGAATTTAGGGGTGAAAGACAAATCAGCTGGTTAAATATTAGGTCAAGTTTTAAATCGATGTTTTGGAACATTAGTATTAAGGGAAATTAAAATTAGGCTAATGGCAGAAATTGCCAGCATCTTGAATGCTAACCCACCAGCCGTAGCTCAGTGGTGGTGCTCATCCCTAGTCCTTGGCTTCTTCAGGTAGAACAGGAGAAATACCTGCCTGAAGCCTTGCAAAGCTACCACTGCCAGGTAGTGCTGACAATCCTGAGGTAGGTGGACCAGTGATCTGCCTCTGTAGAGGACTGTTCTCCAACCTTTTCAGACAAGAACAAACCTTCAACTCAACCTGCTACAAAGGACCCCCTGTTGATGTCCAGCTTTCTGCTCCTCTCTCGTGCATCTTTCAACCACCTCTAGTCCTGCTAATTCCCCTTCCCCTTCCCCTTAAAGAAAAGGAGGTAGGAAAAGCCTAAAATGGCAGTTATACCCTGTGCAACCCATGACCCCCTGTGTGGGTTCCAACCCACTTGCTGAAGGTCACTGTTCTAGAAGACTGCAGGGAAGGATCCCATGAAATGTTGGCAGTTGGAACACATGAAGAGCATATGGAATAATGTGAGAGGGGGAGGGGGCAGCCAGCTCTCTGCAGAGTGCTGTGCAGAAGAACATTCCAGCTTCTAAATGAAGCTCATAGATGTTTTTGTGTCCCTAACTCTTGCAAAGCTGTACAGCAGGGGAGGAGAGGGAGCCTTCCAGATGCACTAGAGAAGGAGAATGTGGCCATCCCTGCCCTTGGTTGCAAGCAAAGGACACGAGATTAAGGACAAGAGGGTGCCAACTGACCAGTGCAACACAATGGCACCTCTTTCCAGCTTTAGGTTTCTCTACTGCAGAAGTGGGCAGGCCTGGCAACTTGAACCTGTTTTATCCTACAGACTTGAGGATAAGTAGAAGGATAGGTTAGGTTGTGCTAAATGTCGTTAGCCTATGTTTGCATGCCTGTGAATGGTTTTGTGGAGACTGGGTGTGCTTCTCTCAAAATACAATGCTCCAAGCTAGAAAACTGAGACTCTGAAGGTGAGCTAAATGAAGAAGTAGATGGGTTGGTAGGTGCCCATGAAATGCCAAGGTGAATGAGCGAGATTAGCCAAGGGGCTGCTGAGAACCAGAGCATCTCTGTTTTGCAGGGAGACAGTGTAGAACAAGGAGGGTCAGAGAGGGAAGGCTGTGAGTGCATCAACCCAGTGGGTCATCATCAAGCCAAAATAATGGACCAACTGCCCCGCATTCCTGCTGTCAGGCCCACCAGCAGCATGAACTTCCCTGAGGGTGAAGCCAGCCCCTTTTGGAAGAAAAGGGAGGAGACAATCAACTCCTGACCTAACTCCTGGCAAGAGCTAACTTTTCCCATCAAAGGGATCACCACAAGATGCTACTTACTAACAACTTTATTATGACTCAAAACCAGTCTGGTGTAATCAAGGACTATTTTTAGAAGCCTGCCACCTTGATTTGTTGGAAAGGGAAAAGGGAAGAGACATGCTGATGAGGGAATTGGCCAGTGGTCTTTCTGCCCACCCTTGCTATCCCAAAAGCTGCCTGTGATTGTTCACAGGTTATCATTCACTATCCAGCTTTATATTCAAAGGAAATCCAAAGAGAGATGCTGATGAAATTCACTCACCAAGTTAGTTTCAAAGTTCTAGAATTTTATTGTGTTATATATATTTAATTATTTGGGCCTCTAATGTTATTTGGACATCAGTGACACACTTTGCCTATGGCTTGGAATGGGTGGCAATATAACATGGACAAATTAAATTAGAACTGGTGAGTCCACATTCCCAAAGGTGTACTCCAGCTGTATTGCTGGAGAAGTTGGCAGTTTGCTAGTCAATTGCTTTTTTAGAACGGAAGTTTGGAACATCAATAACAGACTGAAATGCTGACGGCTAGAAGGGCAAAAGATAACAGAAGTAAAACGAAAGCTGAGTTGGATAGCTCTGTAGTACAGCAATGGGGATAAACTTTGAGATGTACAAAGTTCTTTCCCTGGGAACCTAATCCACCCGGAGCTTTCAAGAGCTGCCTAGTGTGGAGGTCTTTGGATGGGACCTGCCACGCAACTTGTACTGGCAGTTGCACCTGAAGGATTTAGCTGTGCTGCGTGGCCAGTTGAAGGCACCTTGCTGGCACCTTGACGCTCCTTGCCAGGAAAGCGACAGCCCGTGTTTGCAAGCAGTCATTACATACCTGATTTCCACAGCCTTCCCACCGCACTGTTAGGAATGGGAGCAGGTGCAGGAATGGTGTAGACCAGCTTTTCCTAGTCTTGTGCCCCCCAGTCAATGGCCCTGTCAGATGGGAATTCCAGGAGCTGCAGTCCGAATGCCTCTGAAGGCTGGGAAAGGCTGGACCAGCTCGCACAGGAGGCTAATGCACATGCCTCCAGCCAAGCCAAGCTTCCATCCAGAATGGCTCTTGGGCATTCCCAGGAATAGCAGCTGCAGCACTAGCTAGGAAGTAAGGTGTGCACAGTCCCCTCCTCTTCCTCCTCTGCAAAAGAATCTCAGTCCCGTAAGCAAGCCAGGCCTGCTTCCATGAGGAGGGCAGGTCACGCGTGTGGCTGCTGGTTGCCCTTGCTTTGACAAAGCCGAAGATGCCGCCCAGGCAGTTCCACTGCAAGCCCTGCAGGGTTCCTGGGGCGTTTTCCTCCTGCATCATTGACCCCTCTGCGGGCGCTAGGCAGAAGGGTGGGCGCCCTGCTTGGCGGAGATCAGAAGCTGGGTGCTCCTGGCCCCACACATGCTGGGGCCCCTCACTCCCATCAGCCCTGGACACTCTTGTGGGGTGGCTGATCCTGATGGAGGGTAGCCAGCAGAGCGGAGGGGAGAAGGGCTGTGCTGGCTCCCAAAGGAGAGCTAGGAATGCTGGGACCTTAAATGGTTACAGATAGATGGATGCTGCCAGGGTGTTTTTAATCCCTGCAAGGGCTAAGGCTTGATGGCTGGAGGACTAAGGGGACGTCTGGCCTGCACACTGCTGTATGTTCTTTCAGGCTTTCTCTGCCTCTGCTGTGTTTCCCAAAGCCCTAGCTCAATAGCCTGCTTTCCAGCTTCTTCTGAAGTCACATTTCCTTTTTCTCCCCCATTAGAGAAATTCAGAAAGAAACTGGACAGTCATCTGGGAGGGAGGGTGTAAACTGGTGTTGGACCTGATGGCTTTCTTGGCCCCTTCCAACTCTACTGTTCTATGATTCTATGACTCCTCTTATGCCTCCCCTAACTAAAGTGGGTCTCCTCTCAAATATATTTTGCACATCTGCAGAGACACTCCTACACTTTTCCAAAATGCTATCTTCAGACAAGCCGCTTTGCTAAAATGCACCCTCTTAGCATAGCTATTGCAGGACAGGGAGCCATCTAGGCTTTCCATTTGACAACCACAGATCTTTTACCTGACACTGCCAGTCCTTTTCCCTGTGTTTTGCTTCCTTGGTATAAGCCTTAACAGAAAGTTGTGACTAGATCATGTCTTGAGAAGTTCCTGCCACAGACTTGCAATCTGGATTTGAGCACATCACTTTCCTTCTGCCACAGATGCTTGAATAATAGGATCTGATGGTGACTTGGGGGGGGGGGTAGTTGCCATGGGAGGGGGCACAGCTCATGGAGCACCACCACTTGTGAGCTGAGGTTCCTCCTTCGAACCATCACCATCAAAGACCACTTTCCTTGCAACTTTCTGTATTGCTCCTTAGTGCCCCCAGAATGGATCTCTGAGCATGCACAGGGTGGTTTGTTGAGGCCAATCCGGTGTGTGCCTCCAGGAACCCTCCTTATGAACATGTCTGGGCACTGTCCCCTTGGGAGGGGCTCTCTGAAGGCGAGGAGGCCTCCTCGCTGTGCGTCACTCATTCTGCTGGGCCTCCTGTCTCTGCTGATGCCTCAAAAGGGGTCGATGGCAGTGCATGGGGCTGGTCTGCACCTGAGACCTCTTCATCCTCAGAGGCCGCTCCCACTGGCGGTGCATCTTGGCCATTCCCAGGAACTGCCTGGCTCAGCAAAGCACTGGCCTTGCAATGATCACCTCCACCTGCTGCATCTCAGAATCTTAACCTGACCTATCTTCCGCAATCTCACTGAAATAACATTTCACTTTCCCATTCCAAATCAGCATCTGGAATGCAGCCAGCAACCTGTGGAAACAAACACCCAAGACCAACTTCACTCTTACTCCCAGCATCCACTGCCCAGGCACCACGGTGGCCATCGACTGGCAGGCTTCACCTGAGAGGTGCTCACATGGACACCTTCATAACCTGTAATTGCTCAAAACCTCAAACATGCGCCAGCAAATGCAGCAAGTGGGGCCACCATTTATGCATCAGCCACATGGGGGCCACGGCTTCCACCGAGCCTGCCTCCTAGTGATCCTGCCACAGCCTCGCATGCTCTGCCAAAGGACGCAGTGATGGGCTGCTCTGTGTGGTCAGGGCCTCAGTGAAACCAACGGACCATCAAATCCAGAGTGGTGGCAGAGCTCAACCGAAGCTCTCCAGGTTTCCAGGCCAAGTTCTTTCTCAGCTGCCCTCTGGGATCTCTCACCTGGGGATGCCCAAAACAGAACTTTGCCTGGCAGGACCCACAGTTGCGTGACATGCCACTCACCCACCCCCTATGCTTAATTTGCCAGTCCTATGCTTGGTGCAAGCAGTGTTTCCTGCTCCCACGTCCTGGAATGAGCTTCTGGAAGCCACGCTTCCGCTGTGCTTGTGCTGCATCTTGGAGGGAGTAAAATAAAACAGAATAGAAGCCCAGTAGTTTGCTGCACAACCAAAGGCAAAACGGTAAACTCAGAGAGTGGAGGAAATTTGCGCCTTCATGTATTTCCTGACCAACAGTCAAAGCTGCTTGGTCCAGGGCACCATCCTATTACATGGAGAGAGTGCCGTGCGCAGGCTGTGCGTTGTCGGTCAACAACTAGGGTTGAGCTTCAAAGACAGACTGTCACATTTTAAGGGGCATGGTTTCCATTCTCGCTGTGGCTGTTGAGACTGTTGTTGTGCTCTCTCTTTCTAAGTGTTTTTCTTTTTCTCTTCTGCATCCCTCTGCACCTTTCAGATATTTGTTCCGTAATAGGTCTTTTCTGAGAATCCCTGTGGCTCCTAGGCCAAGGTTCTGTTCACTAAGGAGTTTGAGGTTGGCTTGATATTAAGGTTGTCCTTCCCAGCAGTATTTGCGCACCTTCCTTGTGCTATTTCTATGTTTGGATAATTCCTCCCCCGACGGAAAAATTGCATGGTGATTGCAATGCTGCCATGCAAGCCGCCATATTTAATGGCTTGAGTTTGTTTGTTTGTCGTACAGCTGCTTAATTTTTATTGACTAATGTTGTGCTTTCCTGCATACAAATATTACGTAGCAATGTTGTGCTTCCCCTTCTCCATCTCTGGAAATGTTTCCGTATATATATGTTACAACTATTGACCTTTAAGACTCCCAAAATTTTATAAGCAGATGTATGGCTTCCTGTGGGAATGTGCCCGAAATTGCATATTATATATGTTGATCTACCTATATATAATATGGATGAAGTTGTGTTTTGTTTCAAGCCCTTCTCACGATCACTGCATTTATACAGTACCGAGTTTAATTTGCCACCCCTTTTTTGCTCTCCTCCCCAAATGCACTTGAAATAGTCTTCCTCTTGTATCCTCTTGATTCCATACCTTGCATGATGACCTGAAAGGAATGCTGCTGTTCTCAGCATTTTAGCAACTGTTTTAAGGTGGTCCCTATTACTCTCTTAAGGGTGAGCAACTTGGGCATCGCTACTGCATGCCCTCTGTGCGATTCAGCCTCCGCGGTGCATGTCCGTGTTGCGAGTGTACAACTTTCTGCTCTTTTCCTCCCAAAGGCCATACATGGAAGAACCACGCCACGTCAAAGTGCAAAAGGGCTCTGAGCCACTTGGGATCTCCATTGTGTGCGGTGAAAACGGCGGGATATTTGTCTCCAAAGTGACCGGGGGAAGCATCGCTCACCAAGCTGGCCTGGAATACGGTGACCAGCTGTTGGAGGTAGCAACATGTGTGAATTGCAAGCATGCCTGGCATAGTCAGCTCCATTTATTTTCGCAAACGTGCCACAATACCGGGTGCTGCTATTTCTAGAGTATTCTAAAAGTGTCACCTGCAAAGGTGGGAAATGAGCCAGCCCCTGCAAAAAAGAAAAGAAAAAATCTGGTTGTGTGGAGAATTATGGAAAGGCAAACTAGAGTTTGTCCCTGGCCTGCTCAGCAGGAGCTACTATCAGTTGGTGGTCCTGGATTACTGAGCCTTGAAATGCCTTTCTTGTGTTACCTTCATATAAAAGCAGTCATGTACAAAATGCTGAATCTGCAAAATGCATCCTTTAAAAGCTCTTCAGAAAACACAGCTGTTTTACAGTAGGAGAGTAGGTTACCCACTTTTAAGTAGTCAAGTCAAATGGATCGATTTTATGATGGCACTGATCTTCTTTTCCCCAAAGAGGTAATAGAGAAACAGCAGGTATTGCTGTTATCTGCCCTACCAGAAACACGACACCACAGACCCAATAAATCAAGGGAAATCCAGTTCACTATGACATACAACGGGAAAATCTACAGTGATTTCATCAGTGAGAGTGGGATGCTGGATGTCCGTTTTCTTCTCCTCCATCCCCTAGTTTAACGGGATAAACCTGAGGAACGCTACCGAACAGCAAGCGCGGCTCATCATTGGGCAACAGTGTGACACCATCACCATTTTGGCACAGTACAACCCACACATGTTCCAGCTCGGCAATCACTCGCGATCGAGGTGAGAGACGTGACACGTCATTCATGCAGACCCCCAGTTTTCCCTCGACACAGTCCTGGCGTCACATCGCATCTCGTGCGACACTGATTCTGTACCAAACGTCACTGTGTGTGACATTCAACCAAACTCACAAACCAGACTCACAAATCTCGTTTCCAGATTGGTGGCACATGGTGTCTGTCCCCTCAACACTCCGCTTCCTCTCTCCCATCTCCAGGGTGCAGGTCAGGGAGTCTATCCGATAGACAGGTTTACGATTGGACAGTCCAGCTTCCTAAATCATGTCTTGGCATAATCTCAGAACTGAGCTACCAGGAAATAGATGAGGAGATGAAAAGCTGGCAGTGGGAAAGAACTTCAATGGGCCCTGATTGGGTGTGGGAACATGACAGATTTGGCTAGAAACGGTGGGGCCAGGGGCACATCCGCCTGCCAGCTCAAATGCTGCATTGGAGTCCACTGCCACTTGTAGTGAAATCCTGCGGAAAAGAGCACGCCCCCTTCCGCCAGCCCTGGGGAGGCAGCGTGCCTCCCATATTGCCTGGCCTGCGCGTAAATTAGAAAGGGTCCAGGGGAGGGCAGCAGAAATGATCCAGGGTTTGGAAACACTGCCCTGCGAGAGAGACTGAGAGAACTGGGCATGTTCAGCCTTGAGGAGAGAAGACTCGAGGGGGACATGATATCCCTCTGTAAGGACCTCAAAGGCAGTCACAAAGAGGAAGGGCAAGATCTCTTCTCACTAATAGCAGAGTGTAGGACACGGAATAATCAGCTCAAGTTGTGACAACCCCGATTCAGGCTGGGCATCAGGAGGAGCTTCCTCACTGCCAGAGCAATAGGACAGTGGAAGCAGCTGCCTGGAGAGGCTGTGGCTCTCCCACACTGGAGACATTCAGAAAGAAACTGGACCTTGAGTGGGATGGTGTAAATTGGTGTCCTGCAACAGCAGAAGGTTGGACCCGATGGCCTTCATGGCCCCTTCCAACTCTGCTATTCTGTGATTCTGTGAAAAAGGGGGGTTCTGCTGCCCCAGCGTCCCATCATTGCCCAGCCTCGACAGCCCTGCATGCTTTGGAATGGGAGGCCAGGGTGGTTGCTTTCTAGCAGCCTATTCTGTCATCAGCCAGCTTGGAAAAGCGGGGAAGTGAGGCAGCAGAGGTGCCGCTCACGCATTTTGGGAGCCATGTAGGGCATGCATGCGTTTCTTCTTGGGTTTTCCCCCTTAGACAAAATCTTGCTTGGGGTGGGAGGAAGTAGATGGGTCCTTTGCCTCTTAGACAGGGACCTACCACACCTGGGCCTGGGAATGGCCTGCACTGGGATGGGGAGGTTGGCTTAAAATCGATTTCTTGCCAAATCACCTCTGTAATCTGAGTAATCCGCTAAGTAGCTCAAGACCTGGAGTGTCCAGAGGATGCTTCCATGCGGTCATGTTCTAATGCTGCTGCTGCTGCCTCCTTTCTTTTTGAGCTCCCGGCTGGAACCTGTGAGCAGCCGCTCCACTCCGCAGGGCAGTGGAGCTGCCACCCCCGACAGCCATTCCATCATCGATACTGTGAGCGAGCAGGACGAAGGGACCATGACGCCTCCTTCCAAGCAGACCACCCCCACGACCAGTCCCCGCAACTCAATGAGGCAAGGGCAATTTCCCACTTTCTTCCGGCCACAATATACTGGTTTGGCTTTGAACTGGGACGTGTCGGGTGTCCTGTAATCTCATCCTCCAGTTCTACTCCAAATCATCTGCAAAGGAGTGGGGGGATGATGTCAGAAATACAGACGGCTTTATTCCAAGAAGAAGCCCTTTTCTTGAGAAGACAGCTCTTCCGCACCCCGAGACTGTCTCTTTACACCATTGGACCATTTTGGTTCTCTGGTTTTTCTTTCCCCTGACCACTTTTGGGAAACCTACTCTAGAGGGATGGGGAGTATGGGGTGGGCACCACTGGATTTGCAATCAGAACCTCCACTTCTGCAAGTAACATGGACCATGCCTTGCACTTTTCCACAGCCAAGCAATTCAGTGGGGCAGGGAGGGGGAGGGGGATTGAGAGGGCCCCAGTGAAACTTGGCATCCAGTAGGAAACAGTTGGCTTCTTCCTGGCAAATTTTGCCATAACAAACTTGAATTCTACTGTTGCAACATCTTTTGGGCTTCATCCCCTCCTGTGAGATCAAGAGCTAGTAAGGGGCGGCAACTCAGGCAGGGTGCAGAACCTTTTTCCACCTGGGGGCCACATTCCATTTCAGAGGAGCTCTTGGGGGCCACATTCCCAGGAGCAAAACAAACACAGTCGAAATCCCAGTATATTTTGGTTTAAGGCCAGTGGCTAAACCCGTAACTCGAGAGAGAATTCAGCTTCTGAAAACCAACAAAAGATCCATTGTTGGGAGAAAGCGGGTGAAGCCAGGAGAAGGGGTTGGAGCCTTCAAGAAACCCCAGAGGTCCAGATTGGGACTCCTGAGAGGGCAGATTTGGCCCCTGGTCCAGAGCCCTGTCTGGGTCTGAGGGACTGGAGGAGGAGAAGCTGGAGATGATCACCTGGTCAAACAAGTCATGGGTCTCTCTTGTCCCTTGCTATAATAAAGGAATTCTGTGGACACCAATAAGAGGACACCTGAGCCTAGAACAGTTCTCATTCAGAAGTCCCAAGTGGAACTTGGAATCCAGATCTGTGGTGGGAACCTGTATGGAATATTTGTGTCGGAGGTAGATGGTGAGAGCCCTGCCAACGGACCTGATGGCCTGGTGCCGGGCGACATGATCCTTGAGGTAAGTACAAAATGGTAGGGGGTGGTAGTGGCAGTGATGGAAATCCTTGCAGAATTCACAGATGCAAAACGCACCCGCAGCATTTGGCTGGAATGAAGGATTACGCTGAAGTGTTACAACAACGAGCCTAGCCTTCACTTCTGCTTTTAGTCAACCACAGTTTCCTGTATCATCCACACCAGGAAATGAGGCTAACCTAAACTATGGTTCTTGTAAAGCTGATTAGTTTCAGAACCCACGGTTTGAGGTTTGTTGTTCAGTTGCAAAGTTGAACCCGACTCTTTGTGACCCCATGGACAACATTCCTCCAGGATCTCCTGTCCTCCACCATCCCTTGAAGTCCACTCAAGCTCACACTCGCTGCCACAGTGACTCCATCCAACCACCTCATCCTCTTTCGTCCTCCTCTTCTTTTGCCGTCAATCATTCCCAACATCAGGGTCTTCTCCAGGGAGTCCTTTCTTCCCATTAGAAAGGCCAAAGTATTTGAGTTTCATCTTCAGGATCTGGCCTTCTAAAGCGCAGTCAGGGTTGATCTCCTCTAGGACTGACCGGTTTGATCGCCTTGCGGTCCAAGGGACTCGCAGGAGTCTCCTCCAGCACCACAGTTCAAAGGCCTCAGTCCTTCATCGCTCAGCCTTCCTTATGGTCCAACTTTCACAGCCATACATTGCAACTGGGAAAACCATAGCCTTGACTATACATACTTTACTCGACAGGGTGATGTCTCTGCTTTTTAGTATGCTGGGTTTGAGGTTAGTTGGTTTTAATTAACTATGATTAAAGCTATCTGTAGTTTCCTACTCCAGACAACATGCCAAACCATGGTTAAGAGAAAGTGAAAGCTGTCTGCCCGGTCCATGGCCACTTGATAGATAAAGCTGCAGCAGTCTCTTGATTTTCACGGTGATCTTTCTTAAGCTTAGGCCTTGCTGTGTATAAACATTTATTCTTCCCTCTTTTGCTCTGCTCACGCTCTCAATCCCACTTCCCACACCTTCTGTCGTTTTAATTTGCTGGAAGCACCTCTCACACTTGAGGTTTCAGGTATTCTTGTTTCTGTTGTTTTTATTTTTTTGCAGTATGGATCTGTTGACCTGCGGAATAAAACTGCTGAGGAAGCTTACCTCGAAATGCTCAAGCCAGGTGAAAATGTTAGAATAAAAGCTCAGTACAGAATAGAAGAATTCACCAAGATCAAAGAGCTACCTGGAGATGGATTCTATGTCAGGTATTTTAAACCCGGTTCAGAGCTGGTTTGAGAGCCACGAAGGCCTGCATGGGCACACGCTTCTCCTGATCTTTCAGCACTTGATGTGTGAACGAATGGCTTTGCCAAAGCGTTGGGTGCATTGTGTTTGACATGGCACAGGGTAGCAGAAAAGCTCTGTCTGAAGTCACTGGAATATGCATTGATTCACTGCCCATTTAACAAGTTGGCATTTGACCCTATTTCAGCGAGGTTAAACGTGCATCCATCCACCTTTAGGGTAAACTTAAATGGCCTATGTGGCATCAAGAATTCACACTCAAGAGATCAAACTACATTGTGGTAACTCCACACTTTCTTCTCCAAAGATAACTTTGCCGAATTAACTGGAGGATGTGAATCCTATGCACACAAAGAACAGGGAGGCCTAGATCTGAGCCATCTGTGTTTCAATTCCTGGCTCATCCACAGACTTGTTGGTTCTGCAGCCTGCAAAATGAGAATCATCATGCTCTCCCTGCCCACGTTTGGTGAAGTTGAATGAATACGTATTAAGGAGCCCTGAGGAAGGTTTTGAGACTTCTTTATCTGCTAGCTATATATACTGTGTGGGGGGAGTATGACAAAATCCCGGAGCAGAAGTTCTCTAGGCAAGGTCTGGTGAGCCTCCCTCAAGTCAGAAGGCTGCTAGTCCACACCCTGGTATCACAGGATCATAAAAGAGTAGAGGTGGAAGGGGCCACCAAGCCCAAGCCCCTGCTCAGTGCACCCCTTAAAGATGTCCGTTCAACAGCCTCTTGAATGCCTGCATGATACACACCAGCTTTCCCCAACCTGGTGGCCTTCAGAGGCATTTGGATCTCAACTCCCAGAATTCCCATCCAGCAGGGCTGTTGACTGGGAATTCTGGGTGCTGCAGTCCAAATAGGTCTAGGAGGCCCAAGGTTGGGGAAGGCTGATGTAGACCACAGTTAAAACATTTGAAAAGTGCTTTTTGTCTCCCTTGCTTTGCAGGGCACTTTATGACCGGATGGCCGAAGTAGAGCAAGACTTGAGCTTTAAGAAAGACGATATTCTGTATGTTGATGACACTCTCCCACAGGGCAACTTTGGCTGCTGGATGGCGTGGCAGCTGGATGAAAATGCCCAAAAGCTGGAAAGAGGACAGATTCCCAGCAAATACATGTAATTCAATCTCTGGGATATAAATGGCATGTATATCATGGCTAAAAGTAGAGGGATAGGATGAAGGATGAAGAAGAGCCAAGCTTCTTGCTCCCCAAACCTTTGTAGTTCATGCTGGGAGGGTATTCGATTTCCTAGTAAAGTTACTTGGGAGAGGTGGCATGTTTTTTAATAACACCCAATTAATGAAGTTATTCCAGCCAGTCATTTTTAGTGCTGTTGGTAATTGCCCACCGCCTAAAAATGGAAAGGACTTTGTATTTTGATTCAGACACTACATTAGCTGGGCTTTCCATGGCCATGTGGCAGCATTTCTAGACAGAGTTGGCATTTGTGCTTGATGTGGACACATGACGGCGCCACGTTCCCTCCGTTAATCCACTAAATGGATGCTAGCTTTTTCATCGAGATCAAAGAGCTGAAGATCAAGGGGCTGGAGCAGGCACCATTCCTCCAACCCAAGTCCTGATCGAAGTGATGGGGAAATTTTCCTTGTTTCTCATTGCCATCTCAGGCCTTTTGGTTCCAGCCCCTCTCAGGGCTGTCTTGATGGTTTGGTCCTGCCCGATCACACCCTGGCAATGGCTTTTCACTGGACCTTCCAATTTTGTTCCTTTGTTTTACCTTGGAAGTGTAGCTCTGCAAGATTCTAGTTCTACTCTTTTTTGTATCTCTTGGTCTTGTGGATTTCATATATTTTTAAAAACAACTGAACGAAAACGCCTTCTTTACCTCCAGTTTCTTCACCTGTCTGCCAAAGGGATCATTATGCATGACTCAGAGCGGTCCATGGTTTACAATACCCTGGTCTAGACGTCCCCCTGACATAGCCCAAAATTCATTGTGAGATGATGAGTGGCAAAAAGCTTCTGACTTTAACCAGATGGTCAGATAAAATAAAGAATCTTTCAAGATGCTTTTAATAATTGTTCTGTGATTTCAGGAAAGCATTCCTTCATCCTGGTTCAAAGATGCCGGGGTGAGGGGGTTCCTCCCCCTCAGGACTGCCAGTGGCAGAGTAGCAGAAACTTATTTATTTGTTTGTTTGTTTGTTTGTTTATTTAGGGAACTTCTATGCCGCCCCATTCACCGAAGCCTCGGGGCGGCTCACAACCATAAATAAATAGAAGCCAATAAAACAATATAAATTAACAATATAAATTAAGTCTCCCTGGCCAAAGAATAAAATGAATAAATAATATTAACAATTAAAATAACATTTGAATAAAAAGGTCTTCACCTGGCGCCGAAAAACAAATAACGATGGCGCCAGGCGGACCTCTCTGGGGAGTGCATTCCATAGATTTTTTAATGAAAGATTTAATGAAAGTTAATTGGAAACATGGGCTGGGTGCACAGGGAGGGGGGACATTTTCTAATTGGTTGCATAAAATTTGCATACATGTGCCTGGAGAGTCATACATCTCCATACTGAAGTAAATGGAGTGCCATATGGCTGGAAAGGTGGTTCTGGAAAATACATATATATAAACGGGTGAAACATGTTCACCTGCTGCAGAAGTTTTCAGACTTTCTGCCCCCGGGACACCTTTGGCACACGCTTGTCTGCCATGGAGCTCAGCTCAGCTATAGCATTCCAGGACACGGCAGTGTCTGAGCCACACACACACCATGTGGTCTGGCCCTCCCTCACCTAAGTGAATGATCAGGTCCCTTTTCTGTAGCTTCAGAATCTAGAGAAGATCAGAAGTGGTGAACCAGGGACACGTGCTTGGCATTATTGATCTCACCTTGGGGGACTCTGAGAGTTCTCCAGGACACAGCTTGAAAATTGGTGGGACTTCTTCACCTGGCACTTGACCCAAACTCTGGGAAGTGCAACCACAGGGAGCGGGCAGACGCACGCTGCCCACAGCCCCTTCCACCAGGTGCCAGCCCACTCTAAATGTTTCTGTTGCGAGGCTGCTCTCATGGATGCAGCAGAATTGGTTTCCATGGCCCCTGTGTGCAAGCCGTTCAGCTTTCGCCTGACTATCCACATTATCTCTTCGCAGGATGGAACAGGAATTTTATCGGAGGCACAGCATGTCGGAAGTGAAGGATGAGAACAGCTCCACAAAGACATCCTCGGCGGCGGCTCGAAGATCCTTCTTTCGGAGGAAGCATAAGCACAAACGCAGTGGGTCCAAAGATGGGAAAGATCTGCTGGCTCTTGACACCATCAGCACCGACTCCATCCCTTTCTTGGATGGCAAGTGCCTGTTTGGAATTGCCTATCTTTGTCTGCCCTCACGAAGCTCAAAAGTGGGGAGTGGGTGGGTCAGCAAACCTCAGCCCATCATGCCATGTGTCCTGCACCCTCCAAGCACACTTCTGTCCCCATGACCCCCTTCATCTTTCGTCTGCAGAGAAGAGTGTGGCTCACAAGCCCTTACTCAGCCAGGGAGAGGCCAGGGAAGCATGTCCCCAAATCTTTTTGTCTTCAGCTGAGTTTTGGGATCGTTAGATGTGGAATATGGAATTTTCTGAATAATTCTCAATATTCTGTTTCTTCAGTGAGTGGGTATATAAGCATGCACTGGCAAAGACCCCAGATTCATATAGCTTTCAGATAGCTCCTCAAACGCTTTAGGTGCCCTTCCTAAGCACATGCTGTTGAATGTCGTGTGACGAGAAAAAATAAATGGAACGCAACCAATTCTCCCTTTCTTTCTAGATACCGTGAGTCTTGCTTATCAAAGAGTCCAGAAAGTAGACTGCACTTCTCCTAGGCCTGTGCTTATTCTCGGACCATTGCTTGATGCTGTGAAGGACATGTTAGTCAAGGAATCTCCGGGGAAATTTTCCAGGTGTCCTCTTGGTAAGGCTGTCAACACTAGAAGGTTCTCTGATAATGAGGGAATTCTATTAAGACTCATCCATATGGAGTAGTAGAAACAGAATTGCTTGCCTACATCTTGTGGACCATTTCAGCTCTGGGTTTGAGGTCCCTTGGCCAGCACCTCCAGTGGGCCTCCTTCTTCATTGGGTCTCGCTTCTCGTCCGCACTGTAAATAGCCCCTTTGCTTCCTGTCTCACCTTTGCCACCACATGCATCCTAGACAGGTAAAGAGCCAGTGAGCAAATAGGCAAGGTCACCACCGCTGGTGGTAGAGCAGAGGAGAGGCGGCTGAATGAGCAGGGTCAAGTGAGTAAGCAGAGGAGCAACTCCAGGGGCACCTGCTCGAGTGCGGGCCCTTGGTGGGTGGCTGTCCAGCTCTGGTGACCCTTGACACGGGCCTCCGTTGGGTTAATCCAGATGCTGTACCTGATGCCAGAGTGTGGAAGTCACCACTGCAGATAACTGAGGTGCCATTTTTCATTCATTCCTGCACAGAATGATTTCTTTAAAAACCTTGGAAAGGAGACATGAGTGCATGGGATTGGGCCCAGCTCTCAACTTAGTTGTGCAGTTTCCTATGTGCAAAGATTGTTAAAATTGGGCAGAGGATGTCCGGAACTGGGACCACCTGCACTTTGAAGGTGTTCAGCTCCCTACTAACTCATTTCTTCTTTCTGAAGCTTGTATATGCTGAAGTTATGGAGAGCTTTTTCAGATCTTGGACCTTGCCCAGTGGATCCTTTGCAGATAGAAAAAGATTTCTGCTACTCCCAAATGGGAGGTGTAGGACTTTATTTTATTTGCTTAAACATGCACAGGAGTATGCCCAGGGACTGTTATTAATTTAAAAAATTAACAGTGATCTTCACTCATCATTGGATTACTGTAGCACCCAATAGCCAAAACATTCTGGGCAGTTTACAACAACTAAAACCATAATATACAATGTAAGATACACTATAACAATTTAAATCTACAATGTAAATAGAAGTTAAAAATAAAGTAAAATTGAACAGCAATACAAAAATTTAACATAGAGCAATATATTTAGAACAACAGAAACTGGAAGAATAAAATGCCTGGGAAAATAGGAAGTCTTCCCTAGTGCCGGAAAATCTCACTGGGAAAGTAACGCATCGGGATGCTTTCTGGGTTTTGTCTTCTGCCATGTTTTGCTTGTTGTCATTGTTACCATAATTAACTTTTAGTGATACCAAAGAGAAAACGAAACCACAGGGATGGTTTGCAGCCCAGGTATAAACAAGCCAAGGTCTACTTATGTGGATGCACCGAAAGCAGGATGTTGATTAGTTGTCTGTTTTCCTTTCTTTCCTGGACAAGTCTTTGAACATTTTCCTCTGTTGTGTAGGATTGTATTCCTTTTCAGAGAGGGCTCTCTTCTGGCTGTAGTTCCAAGGTGGGTGTGTTCATCTCGTAACGTGGTTCTTTGCAAGTGTCCCTTTGCCACCAGGCGCCTCTGTCAAATTTTGGAGCCAGCTGGGCAGCCGCCGCATCAAGTTACCCCAAATCTCTGCATCATCCGACATTTAATAAGGGCTGGGTAACGTTCTTGTCCCTGCTGCACAATGCGTGTGTGGACACACAGATAAAGAGTGACCTGGTTCAGCCAGGCACTTCCTGAACAGTTTAACCCAGAAATCGTGGGGCAAACAGACATGAGTTGCACGCTCATCTCTTCTGATTTTAATCCCAAACAGAGGCACACCTCCTTCCTGGTTTGTTTGGGGGCCATCTGAACCCAGAAACACTGTGCTGCATATGGGTTAAACCATGGGCAATTGTTGGGTTAAGTCTGGGTTGCTTAACCCATAAACAGCCTAGAATGTTCCAGACTTAGTCAATAAAGCATTCTCCCTGGAGTGATGCTCTGTGTCTTCTCAACTTGGCCCAGCCCATGCTGGGTAGCACAGCATGCTGTTACCTTCTGTTTATATTGTGCTGTGTACTCCTTGATGACCTACATAAGCCCTTTCATGTCCACCCTGCCAAACAATAGCATTTAATTGTTTTAAATGTCAGGATGGATGGGTGGAAACAGAACCACACTCAAGGCAGGGGACAGAAAAGCAGGTCAGACACATCTGTATACCCTCATTCTTTTCTCAGGCGAACGCTGAATACAGTGTTTGTTTTTGTGCTTCTTAAACAGAGGTGATGAAAGCTTCTCAGCAAGCCATCGAGCGGGGTGTGAAAGACTGCCTGTTCATAGACTATAAACGTAGGAGCGGACATTTTGACGTGACAACTGTTGCCTCGATCAAGGAGATAACAGAGAAGGTGCTGCTCTTCTCTCGTGGTATCCTCAGTGGGTTTTCTTTCCAAAAAAGGCACACGGCGGGAATCCTTCCGCCACAGCTGCGCAAGTTCGGTCCTGGAAGCGTCTTGGATGGGAAGCCATGTGGGAGCCACAGGGAAACTGCTCTGAGTTCTTTGGAGACCGTTCAGGGGAGCAGGGACATAGCAATCAAATCGAATCTGGCTCCTTCTCATTTGTGTCGAAGTGCTTGTCTTTTCAAATTGAATAGGCTCTGATAGAGTCATTTCTAGGATGAGGGCAGTGCAGCGGCTTAGAATGCATGCCAGGAAGTCTTGCTCCAGATATTTCTAGAGCACCCCTAAGTGGCTAGGAATTGTACAAAGGGCAAAGTTAAGTGATACAGACTGTTAAGTAGTCCGTGGCCAAACGTGAAAAGATGGGGCAGCAGTGGCGGTTTTGAAGTCAGCCCCGTTCCCATCTGAAAGAGTCCACACACAACTGAGGGAGCGACAGTCTTCACCACACCTGCCTCATATCTCCATGTTTGGTCACTAGAGGCACCTTTTCTTGGCCATGTGGAGTCTGGAGGAGATGCGCCTCCCCTCACCTGTCCACAGCTTTTCTAAAAAGCGAAGCACCCCCCTGGGCCATTTGAGAAATTCATGGCAGGAGACTCAAAGGTAAATGTATGTGACTGCTCCCAACACACCCGGTTCGGCCCTGAGAAAGTGGACAGGTGGGACAGGTAGAGGAACAAAGTGTATGGAGAGCATCAGGTGAAGGTGCTGCGCTTTTAACAGGCTATTAATGTACAGAATAGAAGAAGAAGAACAGGATTATAACTGCAAATGGGTTAGATTCATCATACTGAAAGCAGGGGGAGAAAAAGGGGGGGATATAAATCTAATAAATAAACTGCAGTTATGAACTTTCTGAACCCACCAGCGCTGATAAGACTGGCTTTCCTTGCAGAGATGCTTGTAAGGTTTATTGATAGACTGGCAAACTGATTCATGATTACTTTACTAGGACTGTCACTGTCTCCTGGATATCGCACCCCATGCCATCGAGCGGCTCCACAGCATCCACATCTATCCCATCGTCATCTTCATTCGCTACAAGAATGCCAAGCAAATCAAGTAGGTGTGGAATGCGGGCCGTGAGGCTTTAAGGGACTCTCCTCCACCTCGGCCAGCCCTGAATCCCGCTCCGGCTGGCATCTTGCCTCTCTCGTGCAAAAGCCGCTCCTCTTTGGGGGTTCCCTGCATCCAGGCATTTTGGGGGTCCTGTGGACACCCACGTCACTTCTCTGTCTCTTTGGTGCTGTGAATGGGGGGACCACACCACAGTTCATTTACTGAAATCATGCGCCCTGGACGTAGCCATGCAGGCTTGAGGCAAAGAGCAGAAGGCAAAGGTGTGAATTGCAGCAGTGGGAAAGCAGGCAGCCCTGGGTGCATCACCTCTGCCCCCCACCTGCCTCCACCCCATGCACAGAGTGCTTCTGTGCAAGAGAGCATGGCTGTCTATCAGACAAACAAGGTGCTTCCCAGAGAGGCCACAGCTGTTTGCCAGATAGACTGGGTTTGCATCAGACCCATCACTCGTGGCACTGCTAGTTAGTAAATAATAGTAAATGAATGGCTGCTATTATTTTTAAATGCCCCAGGGCGTAGGTGTAGAGGAATCACTTTTGGAGCAAATGCTGCACTCATCGACTTGCCGTCTAAAGAAGATGAGGCAATGGAGAAGAGGTACAAAGAAAGGGAAAGGCGAGCAGTTGTAAGAACCCGCGGCTGAAATGAGGGAGCCAGCAAAGCAGAGATGGCAAGAGGGCCAATAAAGAGAAAGGAGAAGGGGGCAGAGGGTAAAGTAGTCAAAGCAGGGATTGAAATTGACTTGGGGAAGAAAATGGTGCTGCGGATGTGATCTGAAGGGTCTCTGCAGGTGCAAGCCCGGTCCAGGTGGGGACAGGTAGGGTGGGGAGAATGTGGCGTAGAGTGAGCTGCTGTATTCCTGCTGCCCAGCTCGGGAAAGGAAACCTTGGGGAGCTTACTTTCTGGCAACCCTCATCCACATAGGCGCTCAGCCATTGCAGAAAAAGTAACAACAATTTGGAATGCTAAGAAATGTGTCTAGAAGGTGCTGTCCATACCGAGGGGCGTTGGCCAGCCACCAGAGGCCTTCCGCAGGGCAAGATGGTTTTCTTGCAGTCCTTGTCTGCGTTGCCCTGTGTGGTTACTTGCTCCTGTTAGCAAGGCTGCCTTTCCGAGACTGAGCAGCTCTCTCTTCTGCGTGCAGGTCCCACGTTCCTTGCCATGCTGGACGACAGAGGGCAGTCTCTACCCACTCTTGTATTTGTTCGCAGCTCAGATTTGGCTTCAAAGCTTCCTGTCTCCTGAAAAATTAAGCTTTTAATAAGCGGTTTCTGTTTGTGCCTTGCAGAGAACAGAAAGACCCCGTCTTCCTGAGGGACAAAGTTACGCAGAAACATTCCAAAGAACAATTTGAAACTGCTCAAAAAATCGAGCAGGAATACAGCAAGTTCTTCACAGGTTTGTATTCAACTGATTACAGATACTCTAGCAAAAGAGAAGGCCGGCTGTGGGATCCAGCGTCTGGTTGCATGTTGGGGTGTCTTTTTTTCTTGTGTCACTGCACATCACTTAATCCAGCCCAGCAGTAGAAGAATGGGAACCATCTAAAATTGTTGTTCCTATACAATAATCTCCAGGACAGCTTTGGGCATTCCAAGTCAGCCACTTCTGCCTTCAGGCAGGACAGCTTTTAAATGCAGAATTGGTTTCTGGTATCTGCAAACAAGGATGTCAAGAAGAAGCTTTGAAAATGGCTAATGGCACGTCCTCATCACATCCGAAGCCTTGCTTTCTTCTCATGTAAACTCTGCTTTCTCTGGCTACTTGGGAATGTGTTTGGTTATCGGTTCATCCTTTTACTGTTTATAGGATTTGGAAACAAAACAAACATGGCTGATGAGTAAAACATCTGGCAGTCGTATTCAAAGTAGCAGTAAATATGTATGTCGGTGAAAAGTGTTATCAAATTAAACATTCCAAGATGCATTTGAGTCCAGTTCCAAGCTTTTCTGAGCATTCTGAGCAGATTCTGGGCATTCCTTGCTTTACCTCCCTCTAAGGAAATTCATGCGTGCCAGGCAAATGACAGCTCGCCTAGGCATGTGTGGTTGCCACGGCCATCTATGGCATTGTTCAGGAACAGTCTGAATGAATAGCCCCACCAAAGCATCAGTTCTCGCTGGGCTCTGTGCAGTCTGACATGGAGGAATGTGGAAGAGCTTTCTGAACTGATGAGGACTGCATGCCGCCGCCTTCTCACCCAGGCATGGCAAGTTCCTGAATTCCTTCAGGCAAGTTCCTGAATGGGCTGAAGGATCTTGGCTGTTTCCAGTTGTAGTTTGATAGCTTCTACATTTCTCCCATCTTGGGACAGAGGGCAGCAAGGAGGAGAGGAGAGGAGGAGAGAGGAGAGGAGAGGACTATAAGGCCATCGAGGCCAACCCCCTCCATTTCCACAGGTGGTCACCCATCTGGCTGCTGGCCTGTGCCTTCTCCAACTTAGCCAAGGTAACTTGACGTGCTAGCACGATGTCTAGCTATGCGTGTCCTTCTCCAAGGTGATGAAGACACCCTGTCCCTTGTGTCCGGGGAGGCCGTCACCTCCAGCCCTGGCTGATCTCCCTCCTTCATGGGCAGACAGACTCCAGCCGTGTTTCCAGTTTTGTGAGCCCTGCGTTCACACACCCTCACCTCAAAATAGGCAGAGGAGAAGTGAAAGATTCTGGTAAGCAGGGAGTGTCATTGAATTAGGTCCTTGTCCCAGCCCACTTAGCAGAAGGAGGACACACACAGGAGTGAAAGGAACCAAAGAAACCCAATGCAAAGGGTTCAAATGCCATCCATTTTATTTATTTGCTCCACAGTCTGTGAGTGCACCTTCAATTGGATGAGCAGAAGCCTAGAAAAGTTACCATTTCTACATGCAATTGGGACAAAGTAAATATCTAGAAATGTTGCTGAAATTTTCAGAAAAATCAATATGGGAATAGAAATGGTATATTCCATCTCAGTCTTAGGAGAAAAGGGTTTCTGTTGAGCAGAAACATGTTAGGTAGGGATATCTTTGAATTGGAACAGGATATTGGACAAAATTCCGCTTGAAAAGGAGGCCTTGCAAAAGTATTCTTAACTTGTACTTGCTTGCTAGATTGCTGTTTTTCTGCAGTGTTGTTGCTGCTGGTAGAACAAGGCAATCATGACAGGCCTTTATAAAATGCATCACATTTTCTGAGTGTTATTCTGTTTTGCTTTGTTTTTTCCGAGTAACATTCTTCTAGCATATCTTTTAAATGTGAGCCTTCACAATAGAAACAACAATGGCATCTATTGCTATTATCTTCTAGCAGAAACCAGTTCTAATGGAACCTTCCCCACCGCATTTTTAGGTCTGAACTATCCAGAATGGGGATGATAGGACTTTCCTGACAGATCCCCGATTGTTGCCTGGCCCAGAACCTGACTTGCATGAGCCTTAAAATGTTTAACTTGGTACACCTTTTCACTGATGTGTGTTTTATTGCTGTTAGGAGCCCCTGAATACAACTGCTGGGTGGTTTACCCATCAGCTGTCCTTGTTGTATTCACGAAACCCACCAACAACCATCTTCCACGGCTTGTTTTAATCATTGTAAATAGTAGCTTGTTGCTATGCCCATCTTCTCTGTGTATCTTGCCTGACTACTAAACTTAGCCTCCTCAGCCATGTGAGGGTTCATTATGCTATTGCAAGACCCCTCTGACCATATTTAGATTTCATGTGTAAACTTTGTCACCCGATCCCACCGAAAATAGCTTTCGGAGGGCTCAGTAACAAAACAGTTGTCTTAGGGGATCATCAGCGCAGGGCCTTGACTGCTTCCTGCCCCTGCCATTTTTATTTAGTTAGTTTGTTTGTTAGCTGAAGCATTGCTTGCGCATCAAATGTCGCTCTGTGTGTGTCCTTCTGTTTGTCTTTCTGGCTGCCTGTCTCTTTCTAAGAAGAATTTATCAAAATCAAGACGCCTGCCTCTTTCCCTGTGTCCTGTCGGGACCTCAGGGGGTGAATCTGTCTTCAGATTATGGTCCTTCACTGGAGGACCAAGCACACACGATCAAGGGAAAACCTTATAGAAAACAGAATGTAGTGTGGGGCAGTTTTGCTGCAGCGATCCCAAGACTGCCTAGAAAGTGCGGTTTTCAGCCTTTGTGGGCCCTCTTTTCATGCATGAACAGGGAATAGGGAGTCTCGGCACAGGATTCCTTGGTCGATGGAACACATCAGGATTCCATTATGCATGTCTTCAGATGCTCCCTCAGCTATGCCAAGAATTGGTACATCGAATCCATGTGCCTAGGGCAACTTAAGAAGCACACAGCTGCTGCTCCACACAGATGGGCATCCCTGCCTTATCCTGGCCCAAAGCAAAACCCAAAGCCAAAGCCTAGTTCAGTCCATGCCCTGGACTACTTTGCAAGATCCAAATGGATGCTTGCCGGGAAACACTTCTGAGTGCCCTTTTCATAAGCATCATCGAGTGGGTATAATGAGAAAAATCGGGCACCAGTGTACGTGCCATGCAAGCACCCCCGTTGCGGTTAGGCCAAAGAGGTGGGGTGGCAGTGAACGGCACCCTGGGCTCCTTAGAGAAGGGGTAGGAGACCAGTGAAATGGGCTTTCCAAATGGGAAGGGTCGCACTTTTGCCTCTGCCTTCTCCTTATTTTGGGACGATGTGATTTCCTGGCGCTTGCTCATATTGCATGTTCTTCTGAAACTGAACTGGCCTGCAATGCTCCTTTTTGCAGGAGTGGTCCAGGGAGGCCCTCTTTCCATCATTTGCACTCAGATCATGACGACCGTCGACCAAGAGCAAAACAAAGTCCTGTGGATTCCAGCTGGCCCTCTATAGCTACGTGCTGTGAAATGACTGAACCTTCTTCAACAGATTGTAAGTGGACAGTTGATGGGGGATTTGGGTCCATTTATCGTTGCCGGAGTGGTGAGTACAAATCAGAGTTCCTCATGAGCAGCGTGCCTGGAAGATGGTGATTGCTTCGTTGGCAGAACCCTTCCACATTGTTTCTGTGCAAACGGACAGATACAGAACTTGCTTTTTCATATGAAGACTCTGTGATGCTGCAAGAGAGAGAAAGAAGCCCTTTAGCATACGTTTACAAAACCTCCCCTGCTATTTGGTGGTTCGTGTTTACTTGAATCTTCTTCTGGTTTTGGCTTTTCTTTTCCTTTTTTTACAAACGAGCTGTTCAGGTTTCCCCTTCCCCTGCGTCTTTCTCCTCTGCTTCCAATTCACAACAGCCACATGCGACAGAGTGGAGTTTCTGCGCATGAGTGAGGATGACTTGTACACGGAGGTGCGTGGATCTGCCTTTCCATAGCAGCCATTTCACTTCTGGATTAGGCGCGTGAATTGTGAATGGGTTTTCTCATCGGTACTCCTCTTGAGAGTGAATCCTGGAGGAAGACGCACACCTCCGACGCATGGCTCAGGCCACTGTTTGTATTTCATGAACTCTTTGTCTGTTAAAAGTTATTGGCTTCCTTTATGCATGAATTTAATATTTAAATGTCAGGATGTATCCGATCAAACTGTGCGCATTGTATATTCCAAAATAATAATTTTGGGTTGCTGTGTGTCTGTTGAACAGTAAATCGGAAGGGTTGAGAGCTGGGTCTGGACCTTCTTATTTTATCACGTGTAAATAGTCTGTAATTGGAGTCTTGCATATTCAAGCTTTGTTCTTTGGAGTGTAACGGCCATAAGGATTTTTATTTAATTAGAAGTATAGTCTGTAGGGATTTGACAATTCTAGTGTGATCCTGTAACTGTACGTTTTGCCACTGTCGACAAATGGGGTGTGTGTGCATTGTTTCATTTTTTCGTTTTGTTACAATTTGTATTTCTTGACTGTACCAAATTCCATTGTCTGTTTCTTTTTTGCACTTCCGACTTTGTTTTCCAACTGTATATTTTTATTTTTCCTTTGTAAAAAAGAATGCATGTCATGTTTTGTAGGTACTGTAACTTTATTGTTAAAGTATCCTTAAATAGCCTTTGTGATTTCCTTTCCTAACATTTCATTATGTAGAATGATGTTTTCTTTTGTTTTTGCCCTTCGGTTTTTAGTTTTTTTCCTTTTTATTTCCATTAATTAAAAAAGGGATTCTTCTTGCACAGTTGCTCAAAGACAAAATTTGGTTGGACATTTTAACCTCTGTTTTGCAGATAATATTTTATAGCTCAAAATACGGGAAAGAGAAGAAAAAAATGTAGAAAGACTATTGATAAATTCTTAGGTGAAATACTGTTTATAAGTTGAAGGACAGCAGTTATATATATTTTTTAAAGAGGGAGGCCAAGTTGGACTTCAGCGGTACAATTGAGACAAACTGGTACTGTTGCAACATTAATTTTCTGTACTAAAAAGTCACTTTGTATTAAAGCAAAAAAAGTTAAAGAAACTGAGTATGGTGTTAAATAAAGGTCAATTTGTATAACTTGACTTTGTATGGAAGTGTTGTGGTTGGCCTGTGCCAACTTCGTTGTTCAGTTTATTGCTGTCAACCAGATAAAATGACCAAAAGCAAAGAGTTGCAGGATAAATTCATAATCCAAACAATTCTAGGATATCTGGAATAGTTGTTTGGCACAAAGAATATTTGTGCCCTTCTGGGGGGCAAAAGGAATGCTCCAAATCATATTTCATTGATACAATGCTTTATCCTTAATAAAAAATAGTTCAAGAAATATTAGGACTATAGAAGAAAAATCAGAGTTAAGTTCCACTTAAGTTTTGACAGCCACTGTTACAAAAGATGCTAACCAGGCTTGTGTGATGGGGCAACCCATTTCTGAGCATCCCTGGGAAGCTGTTTTCTGCTGAAAAGTCCCTGCAAGTCCAGGAAACTGGGAATCGGAGTTTGGCCCTCATCTTCAGGAGCATGGAGGGGAAGTTTTGGTGCTCCGAAATTCCACAGCCCCCATCAGCCCAACACATCTGGAAAACCATGCGAGAAAGCAGGAATAAACTTGCATGGCACAGAAGAGAGACAGACGTTTTACCCAAGTGCAGAGATAAAGCTGGGGGGGGGAGGGGGGCAACCGAGCCAGTGAAAGCCAGTGTGGAGGGGGACTCCAGAGTTGGGAGTGCATAGTCATGCTCTCAGCCCAACCTACCTTGCAGGGTTGTTGTGACAGTAAAGCCAGGAGGAGGAGGGCCACATAAGCTGTCTTGGGTACCAACAAGAGGGAAAAGCAGGTTCCACGACTTGAATGATCAAATAAAAGCCACAATAGGCAAAGAAAACAGGCTGAATTGTAGACCTAGCGGTTGAGGATATTTTTAGCAGAGTGTTTTACCTATATGCCGGTTGTCCGGGCCTTGTGAGATTTGCCAGAGCTGAGCAGGAGCAGTGTTAGAGCAAACCAGGCAAGAGAGACTGTGCAGATGAACTCCGAGCGGCTTTGCGTTTTGTCTTAGTGACACTTGAGATTAGATGTGTGGAGTGGGATCAGAGTCTGTGTGGGCAGGAACGGCACAGGCAACGGAGACCACCCAAAATAGTGCTTCAGCCTGAACTAGGCAAACACAGAGGCTTATAACATAGTCCAGACTAAGACCCTGGGAGACAAACAGCTTGGAAAGGGGATGATTCGCGACCTTCTCTCATGCCAATATGCAGTGGGGCAGCAGAAGCATTTTCCGGACTTATGAGAAATCTTAAAATTGCAACATCAGGGCAACCCCTCACGAACTTACCCATATGGATCTTGGCCCAGGCAAGTCAGGCTGGCATCATAGCCTGTATCCAGCATCTGAGGAGTCAGCCCTTCCTCCAGTAATTATGGGGAGACTTGCCTGGTTGATGCAAGTAGACTTGGCAGGTAACGGGACTTGACCCGGGCCTGGAACACAAGCGGAGCTCACGGAATCAGACGGGAAGCCATGCTCACCTACTCCGTTCTGGTGCCATGGCAGGCAACCCACAGGCAAGACGTGGTTGTGGAGCCACTCGGCCACTCGAGTTCTTCCAACAGCTTACTTATTTTTTCAACTGCCCAATAGCCAGAGCTCTCTTGTGCCCAGAAGCAAACCAGAGTGCTCTAAGGAGCTGGTTTGAGCTCCATGCTTGGCTTAAACCCTCTTTAAAGCCAAGGCTTTAATTAATCAATTCATATATTTATAGGCCACGTATAACTGCCGAAGCAATACAATTTTGAAGACAGACCTGCTTTTCCCGAGAGAGGAGCACTGCACAGTGAATAGGGATATGTGAGGGATCCATTTTGGGAATGGGAATCCATCGGATCCTGTGGGCTCAGCTGCCTGGGCTCAGGTCTGCTTGGATCCAGCCCTGAGTCCAAGCATTCCAGCACGGACACCACCTTTGCCACAGGTTGAGCACCGCGCAAGCAGCACCCCCCCCCCCCCCCTCCTCCCATCTTTGTTTCGGCTGCTGCACTTCACATGCAAGAAGGGTTGCTGGCCATGGCTGGAGAAACGGGACTTGGCTTAGATTTAAAGATGTCTTTAAATTTTTATAAATCGATTTGAATTTGATTATAGAATGTTAAAAAGATACGTTATGGGGGGCTGACCCAGTACGTCCGATGTATTTGATGATTGATTTTTTTACTGCCTTCCATCGCCATCAGTTGCCTGCCATGTGAACACTTCCACCTTGCTATTCTATATTTTCAAAAACTGTATTTTATTCCTCACTTAAAGAAAAACAGTTAAATAGAAAATTCTCCTTTTTGGCAATTCCTGCCTTTGCATCCCTGTAAATCCACTTCCTATAAACAGTCCCTTTACGAATGCACACCATGCAATTTATGTTCCTTTTATTTATTATTTTATTAAACATTTTTTACACTGACCTTCACCTTATGATACCAGTGCAGAATACCAAATGTGATAAAAATCCTAATGTGATACAGAATGCAATAATACATTCAGCTGCAGCTGCAACAGTAAAAGGCAGCAAATAAAATAAGCCACTATATTATTAATAAAATATTGTCTGAGTTGAATAATCAGCCATTTAAAGCAGAACTTTGGGTATGATGTGATCCCATAACAAGCCTGGAAGTAGCATAATGTAGCTTTTTAAGAATCTCCAATCATTTTTTGAACATGATTCTGGCCTTGTGGACTTGCAGAAACACTTTCTGGACAAGGACAACCTTTTTTCACTAATATAGAGAGCCAGTGTGGTGTAGTGGTTAAAAGCATGGGACTGGAACTCAGAGGATCTGGGTTCTAGTCCCCGCTCAGCCATGGAGCCAACTGGGTGACTTTGGGCCAGTCACAGACTCTCAGCCCAACCTACCTCACAGAGTTGTTGTTGTGGGGATAAGATGGAGGAGGAGAGATGATGTAAGCTGCCTTGAGCCCTTTGTAGGAAAAAGGCAGGATATAAATAGCAATATAAATAAATAAATATATGCTCTCGTAATCCTTAAATTGGATTTAAGGATTTAAACTACTGCAGTGCACTTGACATGGGGCTGCCCTTGGAGACTGTTCAGAAGCTGCAGCTTATGCAAAATCAGCAGCCAGATCAACAGCTGGGACCCCCTAGGTCTGAACATATCAGACCAGTTCTGGCTTCCTTGCATTGGCTCTCTGTTTGCCACTAAGCCAGCGCAAGGTGCTGATTTTAGCCTGTGCAAACTTACACAGCTTGGGACCATAAGACTTGTGGTGCCCCCTCTCAACCGCGGTCTGCTCAGGCTCTTTGCTAACAAACGTGGCCTTCCTCACAGTTCCAATTGAGGGTGAAGTGTGGGGGGCCTCAGAGGGCTGCAGCAAGAGGGAAGGTTTCTCTTCTATGGGACGGCCTTCCACCGAGGTCCAGCTGGCCTCAAGCTTGTCATCTTTTCAGCACCAGGTTACGATGGCTCTTCATCGCAAGGTTTTTAAAATAAACTTGGACTGAAGGAAGTACCCATCCCAGGGCTGCCCTTCCTTAGACATTGGTTTAGCTGTTCTTTGTTTCCTGTTCTAAAATATTTGCATTTTGATAAGATTCGTTTATTTGAATATTTTGTTTTTAGGAACGGTTGTGAACTCCCCAGAGAACTTGGATATTGGGCAGTATAGAAAAGAGGTAAGTAAATAATGAAAAGGAAGGAAGGAAGGAAGGAAATTATTTCTGGAAATAGTTTCATACTGGCTTAATTTGATCAGTTCATACATACCTGTCAGATTTTTCTTCTTTCTTTCTTGTACCTATTTTTTATCTTTAATTATTTTTATGCAGATGACACATCTCTCTGATCCAAGGCTAATTGTTATGTACAAAACTTTTCCATGCAGATTTGCTATATCTGTGTTCTTTGCTGTTGACTCTTTATATAATTTATGCAGTTTAGGCAGACACTGGAATGCTCAATGAAGATAGAGACAATAATAAGCCGCATTTCTGAAGATAGGATTTCATGCATCATAAGAGGCACGGTAAAAATCCAATGAATAAGCACATGGTCATTCAACATGCATCCCGTTAATTTTACAGCATCCTCAGCCATGGAGGCAGGCATGGTTTGAGTATCAAGTGCCTGAACAAAGGAAGAAAATAGATCGGTCTTTCTTTTTTTCTCTCTCTAACCAACTGAAAATCTGCCATGACAATACGTGACAATTTACTTCTGTATTTATTGCAGAATACTTTTTTCCCTTAATTACTAGAAGCTCTTTGGGCAAATTAAAAATCTTGTAACAGATTCTTCATTGCCCTTTCTTGGGATAGTAAAATACAAATAGGCAATCTATTATATACAATTTTGGGGTGAGGGTGGCTGGGAATGGGGTTGAGAGCTGCCAAATGTTTTCTTTTTGTTTTGTTTTGCTTTGTTTTGTAAGCTGTCCAGAGACTTTTAATATTCAACGGCATATAAAAACTTCAAACAAACAAATAAAATTCCTTGTATGTGAAAACACAAAAATCTTACCTGCATCAGTTAACCCCCTACCCAGCCTGTGCCATCAGGGCAAACAGCCATCGCCTCCCATCCTGCTGTTCTTCAGAGATGTCTGGCAGGGCATTATCAGCTCATGTCTTCTGCTGATTCTCACCTTCCCAGCAATAATTCTGGTGCTGCTTGGCCTTTTCCTTGCCCCCTTGGGGCCTCCATGCCCCTGGGTCCACTGGGCTCAGGTTGGCTGCCATTGTCCATCAAGACCACCCTAATCACGCAGCACATCCCAAGGCACGAGGCCCATTTTGAGGTGTCCCCTGTTGGTTCGTCCGATGCAACAGGAGACACTCCGCTGAAGGCCGGCGGAGAACCCAGGTGCAAGTTCCCATTGCTCCGCCGGATGGCGTAGTAGGAATCCTTTGTGGGAGCCAGAAAAGAGAGCGCTGGTATGGATATGGCGGCCTTCCATGCCAGCCCCTTTAGTTACCCTTCCTTGCGCTCCCTGTTCATTGTCCTGCGCAGACACGCCCCAGCTGCTGCTCCCAGTGAAAGCACCATTTCTCTCTCTCCCACT